TAAAATATAGCAAGAGATTATAACATTTTAACATTTAAAGGGAGAGTAGTTTTACATAGGCTAAACCTATTCCCCAATCCGATTTAGATAACCCGAACAAAAATATTGTTTAAAACAATGCAATAATTTTTACTTTTCTAATTTAAAATTAAACATACATTATGCAAGAGCTAAATATGATTATTGCAAGTCTTTATTTGGGCTTCAGATGTCATTGAAATTATAAATTAGATCTTTATTTACACAACAAGCACAAAACCAACTCTGTAGACCCACGGATGGCTTGGATTCAGCTTGGATTTAAACGGGATTTCGTTGACTGATTTAATTCTAAATGGCGTCGTGAGCGGAGATTAGCCGTTACGTTGACGTCATTATCCCGGATCGAGGCTAAATGATAGAGTGTACGAAGCGAAGCCGCTGTTGAGCGATGCCTTAACAAATGACATCTAAACTATTTAAAGTGCAATAAACTAAACACATATAATGACAAATTATACAATTCCTGGAGACCGTGTGATGACTAATACAGACGGACAAGTCTTCTGTCTTAATAATATAAATAACAATATTTTTATTTAACCAATAGACAGGACGCCACTGGTGTATACCTATAGATTTATCATAATTGTATTATAATAACATGTCCTATAATCAAGGGATTTAATGCATGCCCAAAATACAAGTAAGAATGAAAATTTACCCTCTCACTCATTTGGTCCAATTGTTATAAAAATCCAGAAGGTTAAACAAAAATTCGAATATGATGACAGAAGACAAAAGACAGCAGAGATTATGTAGGTGGAGTTAACGCCTGTCAATCAAACGATCGGCCATACTAGGAATCGGTGAAGATGGAATTCAATCCCATTTCTAGTCAAAAATTACACTGGTGATAACTATGTTTAGAATAAAGTAATTTGACTGAAATTTTCAATATATTCTTCTTTCATCATCTATTTTTGAACTGTTATAGCAAGAACGGCTAACTCCTTATAAAAATCTCCCATAATGTATCTTTAAAATATAATATCTTAGCATTGCACACTTACCTTTACATATGTCATCGATTGTTTATTGTAAACAGAGAGTGGGGGAGAGAAAGAGAGAGAGGGGAGAGAGAGAGAGAGAGAGATGGAATTTAATGTCCACTCGACACAAACTAGGTCATTACGGGACTAACACTTCTAAAGACCCCCTACGCGCTAGCGAATTATTGAAATAACATTGAATCATGTATGTTAGTCCCGAAATGACCTAGTTTGTGTCGAGTTGACGTTAAACCCCATCTCTCTCTCTCTCTCTCTCTCTCTCTCTCTCCTTCTGTCTCTGTTCCGACTGGTAACCCGTCCCGATCAGTGAACGGACTTTCAGCGGATTGGTGTACTGGTATCCGATCATCTGCTAATTACTTTCGCTTTGAAAAGTTTTTCAACGCAATTTTATGACAAAAACATTTCAATTTTGATCTCGTACGGCAATGGACGGAAAGCTTACCTCTAAGAAAAGGATTATCTTCAAGTTAACAAATAGGATTTTTCTTTACCCAATATTTACGTCAGAATCCACCAAATGGTATTGTTTGGGGTTTTTTTTTAATTTTATGGGGGAGGACTCCCTCAGAGGATCGATACCCCGCCCGCCTGCCCCATCCCATTTCCCATCGCACTCACTATTTATTCATTGGGCAGGGCCTACTTTCTTCATAATTTAGGAAAAAAAACCTCTAATCTCTCTAAGGGTTATGAAGGGTTATTTCCAAACTTTGAAAATCATTTTATTGGCTCAAAGTTTTTACGATGGCAATGTTTGACGAATTATATTGATGCCACCTTTGCGAATTCAGAGTCATTCTATCAGTTATTGCCGTTTAGGCGGGGCTGTTTGATCTGAGATTGATTTTCCAATCTTGGTATGATTCTGTGGAGACATTTATTTCAAAACCTCAAAATATTAGAATGGTGACAGCTGAAATAACTAAGCTGGTGGGAGGCGTATCTTTCGTTGCCCGCCAACATTAAACTCCTCATAATTGCAACACTTGTCGACTCTGATATAAGTTATTTATTGCAAAGAATATTTTTGACGGGACTGAAATTAATGACCGGATCTTTTTTTCTGCTGCGTTGTCCTGTTAAATTAAAGCACAAATCATTCATGTTATATCACAGAGACTTCCTCACAAAAACTATAGTGTATTTTAATAGCTTTGTATATTTACATCTTCAATGTCGTTCAAGGTGATGGGTGTACCACCATAAAATGCAGCACATTCCTTTATACAAGCTGAGTAATAAACCAACAGCAGCTAACAAAACTTGGCAAGATTAGAAGTTGTTACATAATATTAAGCAACTGTGGGTTTTTTTTTTTTGATTGAGTTGTAACATAGTATCAAAGGATTTAATAATAACAATGACTGTGAATTTGACTTCTTTATTTTAACAGAAACACACATTAATAATTATTACATCTATAATTCTAATAACACAGGAACATAACATATCACATTGTAGTCATTTCGGAAATCGTCTTAGTTCAAGTCTGCCTCCATTGTGGTATACCCTCGTTCTGCCTTTAGGTTTCCGACTCCTCTAGTGGACAACCACAGCCCGTCTCATTTATGTCATCATATATACCTAAGCTATTTTATACTAATTCAGTTCATTGCAGTTATCTAATTAACTACTGTACATGAATAAATGATATAATGAAATCATATTATCTCTCAATAAGCCTATAACAGACTACATAACAATGGATGTGTGATAACGTATTTGACCAATGATTATCTAACTTGGCCATTTACCTATATTAGCTGGAGTGATTGTACCTCCATCCAACTCTTAGCTAGAAACCACAGCTATTCTTGCTTAATAGTATGTAACAAAGTAACAAAATTAGCATTTAAGAGATTCTGAAAGTTGAATTTCTAAAAGTCATTCCAGTCCAAAAATGGTTCAATTCCGTTTAGTACTTACTTGAAAAATTGTAAACATTCGGAATACACTGCAGTGGAATTTAACTTGAATCTCCAAAAGTCATACCTGTCCAAAAATAATTCAATTCTATTCAGTACTTACGAAGTTACGATGATTTCAAAAATTGTCAACATTCGGAATACACTGCAGATATTTAAGATTTGTTTTCTGAAATCTAGCGATGGGGCTCTTTTTTACTTGGATTGAATTCATGACGGGAGATTATCTACTGCTTATATTTTGAATTTATTTTCTTAATCACAGGTTTTCTCCGGGTCCTCCCGTTTCCTCCCATTGCCAAAGACCCCTACGCCCAAACGAATTATTGAAATAAAATTGTAAACTCTCTCTCTCTCTCTCTCTCTCTCTCTCTCTCACACACAACCTCACTACTAATCTGGTAAGCCCCCCCCCCCTCCCCGTCGGACCGGATTGGCGTCCTTACTACGCTGCTGCTACCGTATGACGACCAAAAAATACACAAGGTCGCAGTCAAAACACACGCCGTGACTCGGCGATCATTGGCGACCATGGAGATCACAGGACGATATCTGGCGTTTCCACTACGTTTTTACCACGCTTATGGCGATGTTGAGGGCTCTGTGACGCCAGCCCGGTCTGATGGAGGTATAATTAAGGACATATAGCTACATGTAATATGTATCTTATTCCACTTTGATCACGAATTGCTCTATTATTTAGAGGGGGCAGCATTCACAGACTACACAGCAAATGGTTTACACATTGTTCAGGCGGACCAGTTAGACTGTTTGAAAGTTACCCTAGCTTCTGTTTTAAAGGGCCAATCCCGATAAAATGTTGGAGAATAAAACTGCTTAATTTTGTGTTAAAATTCCTTAAAATCTCCCATCTAAGGGCCAAGCAACTAACCCAATATTTGTGATGCGTTTTCAAACAACTTTAACCCGTTAGAGTAAATCTGGAAATGGAGACCGGTGTCCCAAGCTGTAGTCTGGAACAAACTAGACTTTTATTTTATAAAAATAATGTGTAGGTGAAATTTATCTTTCGTTATCAAGTACAGCACATGGGTCATTCACTACATAGACCTCTGAAGGAACGGGAATCGATTATCAGGTCACCCAACGAAAAAACTGACCCGAAATCTTAAAAGGGTACGTGTCCGGATAAGCATTTTTGACTTTCACGTCCAAACGACTCAATATTTTGAGCTGAAATTTTGAGACAAGGTAAATACATCATTCCTCTATATTTTGGCGCTTAAATTTCATACGTACTCAGACTTTTATTTTTGAGACTCTTTTCATATCGGGGTAGTCCCTTTAAAAAAATAAATTTACACAAAACCAGCTTTATGCCTCTAACAGCACCCAAGGCCATGAAGTTATCTTATCCCATTTGTTTTAATATTCTAATCTAATATCTTGTATTGTCCGGCGTGGTTTCCCCTTGTCAGTGATGCAGGACGGAAGGTCTGACAAGGACAGCTGTCTAGTCGTGCGGGTGGGACGAAAAACCGAGATCCCGTGTACACAATGGCATGCACGCAAAAGATCCCTTGGCAGTTGGAATTCGATATAAGAGTAGGCCGCAGTGCCGCTGCCCGGGCATAATATCCCTCATTGAGCACTGTACGGCGTATGCCCGTCTTCATTAGCCCCTTTTAAGAGCAGAACAGTAGGACGTTAAACCCCATTTCATTTCATGTCACTACTATCTTGTATTTTTTATCATATACATATGTTTTTGCTTTCAACCAGGTTGGCTATTCAACCGTGACACTGTATTAGTTTATCTGTATATTTTCTGTAATATTTTATAAAATATGTTTTTGCACCGCATGATACTTATATAACATATTTTGTTTATGTCAAAATATAAAAACAGTAAGTGTCAAAAACCGACCCTGAAGCTACGATATCTTCTTCTTACATAAATAATAAATTGTAAAGGGATGTTTCAGATCATCAGCCGTTGGCAAAAATAGTTTTCGGTTTGCCTGATTGTTCAGGATGTGAATATTTGTCATTTGATATAGGAATATAGCCAGTGTTTGGAGTTTCTAGACTTGGGTGAGTCTAGCGTTAGTTTATTATATATGATGTGATGTCATCTTTAACGTCATAATTCTTTTAAAACCCATTTGTTATGATTTACTTGTATAGTTTTATTTAGTTTTCCTATATGTATATTTATTTTTATTGCATATTTTATTGAATTGTATTGAAGAGCGCATCTGAACACGTTTTATGGAAGATAGCGCTCTATGAGTGTTAATAATGATAAAAATAATAATAATAATTTGATGTTGGTGTACCATTATTTCAAAAAATGGTACGGCCAAAGTGCCAAGCGTGCAGTATTTATACTAGTTGAAATTTTGGACCCGCGTGACGTATTTCATTGTAAAGCACGTGCGTGTATTTTAAGTTGTTTAATGGTCTCGAGCTTAAGACATCGTAATATATTGAAACAACAGCCCGGGACTACTTAATGTCTCGCCCTCGACCATTAAACCATATATTTATTTTGCTGTTCAAAGTGATAATGTCTCCCTAAAAAGACAACCTTCTTCATTAGACCAGTTGGTATAGAAAAGTAGGGCGCTAAAACCAATTTCATTTCTGAAGAGACAAATCAATTCAAAACTCTCACGGATACCCAGTCGGTGCAGAAACACTTTCGTGGTCGAACTACGAACTGCTACGAACAATACGAATGTGTTAGAACCAAATAAGAATCACTCACGAACTTCAAGAACCATCTACGAATCGGAATATGTTGGATTCGGGACGATTCGTGGCATTCGTAACCCATATGAAAGCTGGTCACAAAAGGTTTTCTTTCAAAAATCACTTATGAACCTCAATAACAGTCTACGATTTATTTACGAATCGGAAAAAGTTTGGATTCGGAGCGACCTGATAGGAATACAACGATTACTCCTCGATTACGACCACGATTTCAACCATAGCGCGATAGTGTGCATCACTTTAACCGATATCGTTCGGTTTATGATGGGGGCCACGGTGGTTAAGTGGGTGAGACGCTGGCTCGCTAGCCTGGAGGTCGGGTGTTCGATCCCTACATTGGCCGAGAAAGTTCATTCAGATTTTCCGGTGTGGTTCGCCTTGTCAGTGATGCAGGACAAGGACAGCTGTCTAGTCGTTCGGATGGGACGAAAAACCGAGGTCCCGTGTATACATTGGCGTGCACGTAAAAGATTCCTTGACAGTTGGAATTCGATATAAGAGTAGGCCGTAGTGCCGCTGTCCGAGCAAAATGTCTCTATTAGCACACTGTATGGCGCATGCCCGTCTTTATCAGCACAGTTCAGGAGCAGAAAGTAGGACGTTAAACCCCATTTCATATCATTTTCATTTCGATTTATGATGATATGTTCATTGGTACAACAAATGGTATCGTTGGTGCTTAAATGGAACCAGTAGGGGGCGAGGAGGTAATTATTATAAATGCTATATCATCAATAATCAAGTTCTGTTCATGACTCATTTCTGATCAACTTTTCCATTTGTAAATGTAAATAGGTATTGCTTTCATTCCATTATACTTTCACTTATAGTTACAGCAAGTCCCAATAGGTTGTTGCGCCAAGAGAACCATACTTTATTTTTGGTATGATGTTGCCATCTATAATGAAGTTCCTGCTAGCTGCCATAGTGCTTTTCACTCCATTCCCCGGTTTATCTGAATCGAAGTATGTTCTCAGTAAACTTTCAACCCTTTATGTACCATATTATGATGCGACAACAGGGCAACCAATATATAAATATGATATGAAGACAGCTGATCAGATTGCCTATGATCCACAAGATAAGATCATCTACCTCGTAGGTTAGTCACAGTTTTAAGACATTTGTTCACATTACAACTACTGTATTCAATCAAGAGAGCGAGAGAGAGAGAGCGAGAGAGAGAGAGAGAGAGAGAGAAAGAGATTTAACGTCTAGTCCTCACAAACTAGGTCATTTCGGGACTAACATATGGTTCAATTTTATTTCAATAATTCGCTTGCGCGTAGGGGCCTTTAGCAGTGAGTGGACACCGGAGGAAACCCACGCGGTTGGACAAGCGACCCGACTCCTTGTTACGTACAACCGGGGAATCGGCACCACGCCAGTAGATTCAATGACAGACCTTGTGATACAAGGCGCACGCGCTAAGCATTCGGCCATCCACCCCCTCCCCCTCCCTCGATCAAATAAGGACCGGAATGAAACCGATTTAGGGAGGCGGAAACAAAATGTAATTTATTCGCATCTTGAAGCCCCATTGCACAGGTTCGATCCCAGTGTTGGCCGAGAAAGTTCATCAGGATTTTCCGGCGTGGTTTCCCCTTGTCAGTGATGCAGGACGGAGGGCCTGACAGGGACAACTGTCTAGTCGATCAGATGGGACGGAAAACCAGTTACTTATCCCATTTGTTTTAATATTCTAATCTAATATCTTGTATTGTCCGGCGTGGTTTCCCCTTGTCAGTGATGCAGGACGGAGGGCCTGACAAGCACAACTGTCTAGTCGATCAGATGGGACGAAAAACCAGGTCCCGTGTATACATTGGCGTGCACATAAAAGATCCCTTGACAGTTGGAATTCGATATAAGAGTAGGCCGTAGCACCGGTGTCCTGGCAAAATTTCCCTCGTGGCACACTGTATGGCGTATGCCTGTCTTCATTAGCCCAGTGGGAGCAGAACAGTGGGACGTTAAACCCCATTTCATTTTATTTCATTTTTTTTAAACTTGGAGATTTTGTGATTTATCTGGAAAACGAAACAAATAGTCCTAACCACTGAGGCAAATAGAATGCAACATGATTAATAATAGAGACATAGCTTGTCACGCTCAGCCTCAAGTCGTATGATTCACTGACTATAGGTTACATAATACGAAGCCTTTAAAGAGAGAGAGAGAGAGAGAGAGAGAGAGCGAGAGAGAAATGGGGTTTAACGTCTACTCGACACAAACAAGCTCATTTCAGGACTAACATATGGTTTAATTTTATTTCAATAATTCGCTTGCGCGTAGGGGTCTTTAGCAGTGTGGGGAAACCGGAAGACCCGAGGAAAATCCACGAGGTTGGACAGGCCACCCTACTCCGTGTCACGTACAACCGTGGAATCGAAACCCCGCCAGTTGACTCAATGACAGACCGTATGATACAGCGCGCGCATGCTAACCATTCGTCCATCAAATTCCCCTAAAATATAAAAAGAATTTTAAAATAATTTACTTAAAATTGTTTATTTGTATGAATGTGCCAGAAACTAATTTTCCTTTAAAGATACATTATGTAGGATTTAGATAACAGTTGCTATACTAGTTCGAAAATGGATAATGTAAAATGAATAATTTGAAAATTTCATTCCAACTACTCTATAGCGAGCCAAGATATACATAGCTTTTGAAGGTTTAACAAGACGTGTGCAATAATTTCAACCACCGTACTGGTTGTTCGAAGCTAAGTGTCGCTCGTCCATTTTTAAATTACATGTAAATTAAAAAATGTCTGAACCGTTCTAATCTATTTAATATCGGAGAAATCCGATGCCATCGAGAGTTGATTATTATGGCCTGGATCAGATAAAGATACATTATGGGAGATAAGATAAAGAGCTGGCAGTTCTCACTAAAATGTAAAGGCAATTTGCTGAAAATTTCAGTCAAATTTATCCACTATGAACCGAGAATTAAGCGATTTAAATTTCGGCCTAGCCTCGATCATCATTACTGAAGTTCGTACGATCATCCATTTCATAATTAAATTATGAATGGAAGCCAAGCAGCAAATGGGATCATAATCCAGTAAATATCGCAGGCTAGCTCTTGCATAATGTACGTTTACGTCTGTATTTGTTTTTAATTTGATGTATTAAAGTAAATAAATTTATGAATATCGAATAAAGCACATCGTTAACAAACTTTTTATCCAACTCGTTTCAGGTTATAGTGTGTTGTATGTGATCGATGTATCCGACCCTAAGAACATGGCCATTTTACACCATCAGGTTTATAATAAAACTCAGTTGACAGAAATTGAATTTTGTGATGGATTTGTCTTTTTTTCTGCTGATGATGAGACTAGTGCCGATACACGACTTCATGGAAAGGTTTATGTGTTAAAGAAATACCATGCTAACGATGTCGATTCCTTGAAGGTACTTCACACAGTGGAAGGTAGTTTCAACAGCGCTATATGACTTTATATTGTAGTGATTTTGTAGTGGGGTGGACTTTTTGTCCTTCCCTCTTTTTGATGTGCAATAACTTCATTATCATTTTCACTCTATATGATATGCAACAACTTGAGATATAACTTAATAATTATTTTCACTCTCGTAGATTCTCAAATCCCCGTAGCCCATGCATGCATAGTAAATTAGAAATGCATTTCTAACTGGCCAACTGTATCTGCATAGTAAATTAGAAATACATTTCTAACGCAACTATATCTGAAGAGAAAGAGAGAGGGGGGGGGGGGGGTGAGGGGGTAATGTCCACTCGACACAAACAAGGTGATTTCGGGACTAACATATGGTTCAATTTTATTTCAATAATTCACTTGCGCGTAGGGGCCTTTAGCAGTCGGAGGAAACCGGAAGGCCGGAGAAAACACACGAGGTTCGACAGGCAACCCTACTCCTTGTCACGTACAACCGGGGAATCGAAACCTTTATGATGCAACGCGCACGCACTAACCATTCGGCCATCCAAATTATTGAATTAAAATTGAACCATATGTTTGTCCCGAAATGACCTTGTTTGTGTCGAGTGAACGTTAAACCCCATGCCCCCCCCCACCTCTCTCTCTGGTAACAAAAAAGTATCGAAGCCCCGTCTCCACCTTTCACAATATTGTAGTGTGCAACTGATTATATAGCGTTAAAATGATACATCGAGACTTTAATATAGTGTACACATACTGTTGTAAACAGAAACGCTGTACCGTGTACCCGGAATTACCAGCGGGTAAATGTGAATTAGATCCATAATTCAAACTGACAATAGCCCGGGGCCTACACAATCATAATCCGGGTCTCTCCGTCGGTAGCCTGAGGCCTGCACAGTCATAATCCGGGTCTCTCTCTCTCTTCTCTCTCTCTCTCTCTCTCATCTCTCTCTCTCTCTCTCACTCTCAAATCTTTTTTAATTGTAGTTGGTGCTATACCGGATTCAATAAAAGTAACAAAAGACTGTCGAACAGTTGTAGTAGCAGTTGGAGGAGAAGCCTTTGGAACTGGCAGAGACTTTCAAGATCCTCCCGGGTCTGTTGGAATAATCAAATTTCCTAACGGGGTCCAGGGTGATAGTACCTACACCAATTTAGACTTCGGTGAATTTAATAGCAAGTAAGAGAATTTTGATATTTACCCGTGTTAATTTTTTTGGTCTTCACGGATATTTCACAAAGGGAACTAATGATGTACGTTTCGATGTTGGACTTCATCAAGCAACAACCCGGTTATTACTTGGACCTTTTAAACTCAATCTGATTAAAATACAGATCTTTATTTCGTTTCATTTTTTTTTTATCCTTTTGGTGGCCTACACTACATGGAGATCTGACCGATATTAGTAAAAGGTCGCAACAGAGGTCGTACGAACGGCTTTTGACTTATGACGTCAGAAATTGATTAATCAATCGGCGTGGACGTTTCTATTGGTTTTACCCACAGTTCCGTGCGTCGCACGCCAAGAAATCGCCATAACAGATGGTTTCATTGGCTAATCCCTCACGCCACCCGGAAAGCAGGTTATATAACAACTCTTCGAGATCCTAGTGCAGTAAAGACAAGTAAAACAAAATTTTGAGCTATAAAAAACAAAACGAAATAGGATCTGCGTTTTTTTTTTATCAAATTGTTTTAAACTTCGCCCCTTTAAAGTCTCTCGGGACTTGCACATTCAGCAGTGAATTATCATTTTTTGGACAAGTGTTCGTGTTTGACACTGGAGCGTTGAGTTGGCATTTAGGAATTAATTTATTTATTTATTTATTTACATTTTAGAATTTTTCAGTTGGAGAAAGATGGCGTACGTTTTATATATCGTGATAATAGTAATATCTTTCTTAAAGATGCCCAGCCAGAAACTATCGCATTGAATGGGGATGAAACAATAGCTTACGTTTGCTTGCAGGTACTGTAGAAATCGCCCCTGAACTACGTGTTAAAATAATAAACTATATGTGGAGAACAGGGAATTGTGTATCCCTTGGATACGATAAGCTTGATTATACCCCTGTCAGACCGGATGGCGTCTTTACTGGGCTGCTACGTCGACGGAAATTGACTACATAGCGCGTCAAGATCGCCATAAGCGTGGTAAAAGCGTGGTGGAAACGCCAGATATCGTGCTGTGATCTCAATGATCGCCGAGTCACGGCGTTTGTTTTAAGCATATTCAAAGCGAACGCCAAGTTTCTGCGATCTCGCCTGGATGCTTTTTAAAGTTTATAATTTATCGGGACATTTTGTCGCGTTGTTTTCACGTTTGCCGGCGACCTTGTGTATTTTTTGGTCGCCGTACGGTTGCAGCAGCGTAGTAAGGACGCCACCCCGGTCTAACGGGGGCATTACAGTGGATCAACCTTTTTGAATTGTAATCTTTAAACGGCATTTAGTAACTGGGTAGAGTAAAACCAAAAATACATACTTATGGACAACAGCTACTAGTGTATGTAAGACGGCGTTGTGAAATGAAGTGAAATGGGGTTTAACGTCCATACTGTTCTGCTCCGACTGGGCTAATGTAGATGGTCATACGCCATACAGTGTGCTATGAGGGAAATTTTGCCCGGGCAGCGGCACTATGACCTACTCTTATATCGAATTCCAACTGCCAAGGGATCTTTTACGTGTATGCCAATGTATAAACGTGACTTCGGTTTTTCGTCCAATCCAAACGACTAGACAGCTGTCCGTGTCAGGCTCTCCGTCCTACACCAGTGACAAGGGGAAACCACGTCGGAAAAACCGTCTTACCCACCATGGATCCCCTGAACGTTATCAGATATGAGGAAAATATGAATTAGTTTTAAAAAGTTAAAGTGTCAATTTAATTAAACCTAGTGTGATGGTTTGTTCTGCGAAGTGGGGGTCTGTTAGAAAACCAATAGGCCAGTGTCGAGAGATATAATTATTCAACAGTCAGCAGTTTACGCCCAAATCCAAACGAAAATTAGTAGTGTAGAGCTGGAACAATATTAATTGTATTTCTGGCCAAAATAAAATAGGCCAAGTACCTTTAAATCGATACCATAATTCATTTCGTATATATTTTAAGGCAAATAATGCAATTGCAGAAGTGAATTTAGTTACCATGACGATAACTGCTCTTCGTGGACTGGGATATAAATCATGGAGCTCATATAAGTTGGATGCAAGTGATAGAGATGGAGGTATAACCGATTTGTCAAGTTTGAATTAAGGCCAATTTAAATATAAAAATTATTTTGACTAAAACTGTAATGTTTTACATAAAAATGTAATTCGCGATGAACATGCAGCCATGATCCGTTGGAATAGCTCAGAGCATTTGAGAATCCAAAACGAAAATCTATGTTAACCACTGCTGCGAGTTAATAATTTTAAGAATTAAATACATGGAAGGAGAATTTGTGAGAATATCCTAATAGATCGGTTCAAGTCCTGTGAAATGGCATGGTGTGATTTCCATTTTTCAATAATTACAAGCTTAACAGATATTCATATTACAGGGTTTATTTACAGACATGCATACGTCGTTTGCTCACGTATTTGGTTTAAGGAAGTCCTACTGGGTTATATCGATAAGAAACTCGGATATTCTACAAAGTTTGTTTTATAAAACATTGATCTTGCCAAGTTTCCGATATATAACGGACACTTCAGAGGGTTGCCCAATACCTGTCTTTATTTACAGGAATCAAAATGAACTCCTACGATATTAGAGCATTTTATCAACCCGATGGTATCCATCACACAACATGGAATGGTAAAAGCATCATCATCACCGCGAATGAAGGGTTTACTAAGAATTACGATGATCAAATAGGCTGGAAGGAGGAAATACGAGGAAGTAAAATTGTAGGTGAGATTCTCAGTGTTAAAATGTATTTATGATTTGAATGATAGATTTTGCAGTTGACTCTCTGTGTTGAGACTGTTGGGGTTAAAATGTATTTATGATTTGAATGATAGGGTTTGCAGTTGACTCTATAAATGCTTGCTGAATTCACCCTCTACTTTTAACTTTATCACCTTTTAAATTTCAGCTAGTCTCTCCAAGACAGTGTCACAGAATTTAAAAACAGCCTTAGCCGATGATAGTAAACTAGGTGAGTCTATCAATCTTATATGTAAGGTTATGAATGTCACCTGCAGAAGATCTTCTCTAATTCCTCCTCTTTTTGATCAAACTAAATAACAACGTCTAAAAAACTTAAAGACGCACGGTGCCAGAAAACCAATACGACTTTGATTATTTAGGTTTAATATAAATATGTCCCTAAATGTGTTCCTTAGATAGTATATATAGATTGCCCTATGCAAAATCACTAGAACATCAGATGGACAAAACATATGTTAGGTTGACCGATAATAATTTCTGGTCCAATATGCTTTTTCGTAAGATTGCTTTTATTGTGTACTATCCGAAAGTTTACTTTTAATGCGGAATATATTGCCTTTAATCTATCAAGATGTGATGAACCAAGATGTACAGGTTGAAACGGGTAACCTATTAACTAAATAGTGCTCGATCTGGAAAAATTCATTTTGTCTCGTGGTTAGGATAGTTTGTGTTTCTCTTTATCGTGGTCTTATTTTGTCATCGTCCGACCTCTCGCAAAACCCTAGTTTACCTACTATTGCTGTCACTGCCACCGAAACCATACAAATTTGAAGGGATATTTTTCAGTCTTGCATCTAGTTGTTCGGCTGATTGCACTTGATGGTCAGTATGATCTGTCATCAAGTCTATAGGTTTCTAGACCTCTCCGGAAGGTTCAATTAAAACTTCGATCTTGTAGTTAAAAATATGAATACGGCAAACCTGAAATTGTAAATACGAACACAGCCTTTTTGTTCATTTTATTCAGATTGGTTAGGAGCCACGTTGGCTAAGTGGGTAAGACGCTAGCTCGCTGGCTGGCTGGCCTGGAGGTCACGTGTTCGATCCCTGCATTGGCCGAGAAAGTTTATTGGGATTTTCCAACGTGTTTTCCTCTTGTTAGTGATACAGGACAGAGGGCCTGATAAGGACAGCTGTCTAGTCGTTAAACCCATTTCATTTCATAATTTGGTATATAGTCTTTTTGTATATATTTCCTGTAATATAGGAGAGATGTAATATAGGCCTAGCCTGTTCTTCAATTCTTTTCTGAGAATAAAATATTGTTTATTTTTATGTTTTTATTCAGGTAGATTGATCTTCAGTAAATTTGATGGTTTAAATGCTGATGGTGAATATAATCATCTGTATACATTTGGTGGTAGAGGGATATCAATCCGATTAGCCAGTGATATGTCAGTACTCTATGACAGTGGTAATATTGTAGAAGAACAGAGTGCTAAACACCTGCCTGACCTTTTCAACTGTGATGGGCATCCTCACAATACACCACGTGAAAGTATGGATACAAGATCGGACAATAGGGTAGATTATGTTAAACATACATTATGCAAGAGCTAAATTTGACTATTGCAGGTCTTTCTGTGCGCCTGTAATGTTATATAAACTATTAATTTGACATTTATTAACATGAAATGACCGTAATCAACTCCCTATGCCATCTTATGAATTGGATTTTCACTGCATTTGAATCCGATTTGCTGCTCAACGTTCATTGATGATTTAATCCAAAAATGTATAATCGAGACTATATTTATTATCGTACGGACTTTAGTAATGATGATCGAGGCTAGGCCTAAAATTCAAACACTAATATCTCTGTTCAGACTCGAACAATTTGACTGAAATTTTCAGCAAATTCCCCTTAGCGTATCTAGTTTTTAACTATTATAGTGAGAACTGCTAGCCCTTTATCTAATCCCCTAATGTCCCTTTAATGAAATATGTTTTTAAATCAACTTTCAAGATCATTTTTCTTTTCTGGGCACCTGGTGGCTCAGTAAGGCACTGGCTCGCAAACCTGGACGTCCCTAGACTCTAGCCGTTTTTAATGGTACAAAACCATACGTTGGCATGCACGTAACATAACTCTGGACTGCAGGAGTATGACGTAGCGTCCTTTTAGACCTGGACACCAGAAGTAAATGTCATTTCCATCAAGTTTGTACAATTTTCATGAAAATATTCCAGCGTGTAATTGAATGGAGAATAGCGCCCACTCAACACAAAGTGGGTCATTTCGGGACTAACATATGGTTCAATTTTATATCAATAATTCGCTTGCGCGTAGGGCATTTTTCGCAGTAGGGAGGAACCGGAGGGCCCGGAGAAAACCCACGAGGTTGGACAGGCGACTCTACACTTTGTCACGTACAAGCAGGGAATCGAAACTACGCCACTTGACTCAATGATATACCTTATGATCCAGCGCGCACGCGTTAACCATTCGTTAAGCCCGCCCCCAATAACCTAAGGATCAATCATCTAACTATTGTTCGTGCTTAGCTTCAGTAGTTCTGTACTGTATCGTTGCTATCCCAGTGTACTTAAGCAGACAAATTAAATACAATGCCGTTTCTAACCGAGTGGAATATAACATATTATATGCATCTGCTTTTTTTTTATTTATTTAAGGGAACTGAGTGTGAAGCCATAGAAACAGCAGTGATCGATGAACGTTTGGTAATATTTGTTGGGTGCGAGACACCCGGTGCTGTTTATGTTTTCTCTGTTGGTGATGATTTCTCTACTACGCGTTTCGAATCTATATTCACTAATGTACCCAGAAATGACGTAACCTTTTCTGATATGTACGACAAGCGTGTTCTGTCTGAAATTGACCCAGAGGATATAAGGTATTCTTTATATTTCTAAAAACAATAACCATTTTATATTATGATAAGGAACATTGACGACAAGATGTTATTTCTTCTAGTCCAGAGAACAAAACATTAATATAAAACAGAGTAGCATTCGATTAATTCAATAAATATTTAAAGGAATAAAATGGGGTTCAACGTCCTACTGTTCTTCTCCTATACTGGGCTAATGAAGACGGGTATACGCCATACAGTATGCTATCAGGAAAATTTTGCCCGGGCAGCGGCACTATGGCCTACTACTCTGCTCCGACTGGGCTAATGAAGACGGGCATACGCCATACAGTGTGCTATGAGGGCAATTTTGCCCGGACAGCGGCACCGTGGCCTAGACTTGTATCGAATTCCAACTGCCAAAGGATCTTTTATGTACACGCCAATGTATACAAGAGACCTCGGTTTTCCGACAATCCGAACGACTAGACAGTAGGTCAAGACATCCGTTCTGCACCACTGACAAGGGGAAACTTGTACGTCGGAAAATATTTTATGATTGAGACTTAAGCGAACAGGGGGTTGGATTGCCGAATGTTTAAAACATGCGCGCTGTATCATAAGGGGTGTCATGGAGTCAACTGGTGGGGTTTCGATTTCCCGGTTGTACGTGACAAGGACGGTCTCCTGTCCAACCTCACGGGTTTTCTCCGGGTCCTCCGGTTTCCACTCACTGATAAAGACCCCTACGCGCAAGCGAATTAATGAAATAAAATTGAACCATTCGTTAGCCCCGAAATGACCTTGTTAGTCCCGAAAGACCTAAATTGTGTGTGTGTGTGTGTGTCTCTCTCTCTCTCTCTCTCTCTCTCTCTCTCATGGGATACATTCCTTTACTATATGTCACCTAAAGCACCTACCTGATTCCTGTCACATGAATAACCTACCTGCTTTTTAATTAGGTATGTAACTGGTAGTGACAGTCCTACTAACAGTTCAGTATTGTTTGTATCCAGTTCGGAGTCAGGTACACTATCTGTGTTTCAAGTAAATGTAGTCAATACCAACTCGGGGACCAGAACAGGTGAGATATTTCTTTTATTTGTATAATATTCCTTCTGTTATAAGCTCGAATCGATACTGTACAACCAAAATGTAACCTCGTCAAAGGCTATGCCATTTCTGGTTACCATTAAGAAGAGGGGTCTAAGGGGCATAACCGCTATTGAACCTCCTTTAAACTAACTCGTACATGTAGTAACGAAAGAACAATAATAGTAATTTAAACTATGTCTATTCCAATGACATCTTGTTTAAACATGACAGGCTATTTGAAATGTTATGGAACGTTAACTGCAGGGTCATTGCTTTAGATATGCCATTGTAATAGCAAATCCCAGTAATCCCAGTAAACATGGTGTCTTACTGGTAAAAGCATTAAAGGACAATATTGATGTCAGTGTATTACCATGTTTTTATTAAGTATAGAATGAATAAAAACAAGGGAATGTACGGACTATTTCTATTTTTCTCGTTTTCTCTTATCTAATGACATTCATTTACTTTTTTGAATTGTCAGATATCCTCTTACAGTATCATATAACAACTTTTGGTCTTCGAAGGAATTACTAGCGAGTAGAAATTCGCCCGTGTATCTGTTATCACTCGTCACGTCAGTCAGTTATATAGAGGGATAACTCGTGTTTTCCTTTTGCGTTCGTCACTTTCGATTGTTGAAACCTTTATTTTGCATCTATCGTAGCAATGATCTCTGTGTTAAAATTATATTCGGAACGTCTTTAACCCGTTCTATCACTTATGTGATAATGACTGACACCAATATTGTCCTTTAAGAAGTCGTCCTTCTGTTCCCCATAGTAATCTTGTCTGTCAGGTCAACGATAAAACCCGAGCTATTGTAACAACCCTTATATGGATGGGAATATAGCTATGTCGGTAGAGCACTGGACTGTCCTGGGTTACCCAGTTTGATATGGATAGGAGAGGGAGGTCGGATCCCACCGAGGCCCAACTCGAAACCTCTCTCTACGGCTATGAAATATAATCTGATTATATGTATGCCAGAGTAAAGTCGTGACTTTTTTACCTGGACATATTTTTAAAATTATTTATATGTATTTAATTTGCACGTATTTTTTTTCCAGGATCTATTAACTCACTTGGATTATTTTTAGCAACAGTAGTTTTAGTCATGTTAATTAGGTACCTAATTTAAACAAATTTTATTTGACTTTATACCCCCCCCCCCCCATACGATTTAAATAATTGTCAGCTGAATACATCCACGTTTATAACCAGAATTAGACTAGATTAAAAATTTCACCGCGTGACGATTTCATTGAAATGCGCGGGCGGGCTTTGTCTGTGTTTTAAGTTGTTTAATGGAACATGAAATGGGGTTTAACATCCAACTGGGCTAATGAAAATGCGGGCATACGCCATACAGGGAAATTTTGCCCGGACAGCGGCACTACGGCCTACTCTTATATCGAATTCCATTTGCCAAGGGATTAACGTCCACTTGACACAAACCAGGTCATTTCAGGACTAACATATGGTTCAATTTTATTTCAAAAATTCGCTTGAGCGTAGGGGTCTTTAGCAGTGGGAGAAAACCGGAAGGCCCAGAGAAAACCCACGAGGTTGGACAGGCGACCCTACTCCTTGTCACGTACAACCGGGGAATTGAAACCATGTCAGTTGACCCAATGACAGACCTTATGACACAGCACGCACGTGTTTTAACGTAGCACACAATATTCTCAATGAAAACGAATGGTATTGTGTTCGATCTTTCTGTTTTATGGCTAGTAATCGGATATTTACTCCAGTCTCCATATATTAATGCTTATAGGTTACTATACACATTTGGAGTGCATTTCCCGCGATGATCTGTCCATTTTGCATCATTATGTTGTAGTATTAGGTAATATTTTGTGGTGATATTGGGGTGGTATTGGGTAGTATTGGGTAAATCGTACCACCCCATGTAATTAATGCTTATAGGTTACAATACACATATGAAATACATTTCCCCGCGATATAACTCTCTGTTTTTTGCAAAAAAGAATTAAATGATTTTGCATCATTATGTTGTAGTATTGGGTAGTATATGGTGATATTGAGGTGTTATTGGGTGGTATTGGGTAGTATTGGGTAAATCGTCCCAACCCATGTAACCATAGGAGGAACAAAGATTACAATAGATTTGACAAGACCCTGTTTCATTTTTTACAGAACTCCGTGAGACCGAGACACATGGTGTAGTTATTTCTAGATGCTTACAGACCCATCAAAAGGAAATGAATTAAAATGGCTTAATACCACTGACATGTTGTACATATAATAATTTTTAGAAATAATTTGTAAATAAAACTGTATCAATATTGACGATTAATAAAACAGTCCCTGTAATTTATAATGTGATACTATATATAATGATAACTGAAAAGTCACTTTTTATATTGATACTAATCATTTTAAAGCGGCATTATGCATGGTCATTTTTTATATTTATACTAATCATTTTAAAGCGGCATTATGCAAGATTAGATAAAGAGCTGACAGTTCGCACTATAATAGTCAAAAACTAGATAATGTACAGAAAATATGATGAAAATTTTAGTCAAATTGCTCAAATCTGAACCGAGATATTAGCGATTGAATTTTAGACCTAGCCTCGATCATCATGACTTAGTCTCGATTATCCAATTTTGGATTTAATCATCAATGAGAGTTGAGCAGCAGATCAGATTCAGGAGGAAAGGAAAATAATGGTGCGCAGATAACAGAACTCTTAGCAGTTATAATTCGATGAAGACGTTGCGGGGCGGGTAGCGGGTGGGAGGCAGTGGGGTCGCAGCTGTACGTCTTCGTCATCCCGGTTAGCGCTAAAACATTTGATTTATTAAAAAGTTTATCTTTTTCTTCGAGTGCACATTATAATTGCGTACGAACTTCAAACTTAGAACTTCGCAGCGTCACCATTATCTTATTGGGGTTAGCTTGAATAATTCCACTCTACACAAACTAGGTCATTTCGGAACTGTCATATGGTTGAATTTAATTTCAATAATTCGCTTGTGCGTAGAGTTCTTTAAAGTCTAGCTCATGTCGCCCTACCATGCGATAAAATTCATGTCGCCCGGCGACAGTTTCAGAATCGCAGCTACAGCTGATCACATGACTGCCGCGTGATAACCTTCAAAATACCCTCATTCCACTTGTCTGCCATGTTTGTTATCGCCCTCTGGGTACCACGTGACTGAACAACCAAATATTATTGGCTACCTCAGCGAGGCGCCGACTCAAAGTAGTCGTAGGTGTGCTCATGTCGCTTGCGACTAGTGACATCTAGTTGTCTCCAGTTGTAGGAGTAGAACATGTGCGACTTCAAGAAACTTGAGGCGACTGGTTGCCATCCGACTTACACCAGTCGTAAGAGCGCTCGGGTCGCCCAGGTAGTCACGACTGATCAGTTCCACTTGATCGTAAACCAGTTGCCGATTTCGAGTCGCCCTCAGTTTTGTCGCGTCGTAGGGCGACATAAGCTAGATGACTACGTGTAACCACGCAATTTGAATCAATGATAGACTGTACGCCTTAAAATATTCGCCACCTCAGATACAAAATAACTAGTGCAGAATGCCATATTTTACACATAATAATTAAGTCATGCCTACGGGATACTTTAGTTATCTGAAGCGTTTAGTATCTCGAGCGCTCGAGAAATGTTTTGGGGGTCATGTTCTAAATCTGCGAGCGTGCACATAAAATTTATCATGAGATAAACGTAAGATATATTTTAACATCACATCTGTTTACACTGTTGATATCACTAATTGACACAGTGTTAAAACCTGATATATAGGTGACCGTGTTAACGTCCACTCGACACAAACTAGGTCATTTCGGGACTAAAACATGGTTCAGTTTCAACAATTCGCTTGTGTTAGTCCCGAAATGACCTAGTCGAGTGGACAGGCGACCCAACTCCTCGTCACGTACAACCGGGGAATCGAAGTGTAAACCTAGCATTAAGCCGGTTGTCTTAACGTCTATTTTTATGGTCTGCACGAATAAAATGAATAGTCAGATCTTTTATGCTCCATATAACACCTCACTGGTTTGCACTATTAAAATGAATAGTGAGACCTTTTATGCGCTATAACACCGTCACATGTGTAAAAGAAAATTGATATTTGAGTAACTTTATTGTTGAATAACTATGCCAATAATAATATATACATGTAATATAATGTTCTGCTCGTGCAGTTCCTTATTTATACACTTGGATCATGACCTGATTTTTAAAATATTTTAATAACCAGGCACCTTTTATGAAGGGTAATCCACGTTTCACCGGTGTCCTCTTACCATGATGGGGGGGGGGGGGTAGCCGAATGGTTAGCACGTGCGCGCTGTATAACAAAGTATGGTGGGTTTTCGATTCCCTGGTTGTATGTGACAAGGAGTAGGGTCGCCTGTTCAACCTCGTGGGATTTCTCCGGGTCCTCCGGCTTCCTCCCACTGCTAAAGACCCCTAGGCGCAAGCGATTTAAAGACAAAAATTGGACTATGTGTTAGTCCCGAAATGACCTAGTTTGTGTCGAGTGGACGTTAAACCCAAATTCTTTCTCTCTTACAAGATACATCTAGAAATATCAGATAAATATATAAATAAAATGGTCCCGTGGTGCATAGCACGAGCTCGATGAATGATTGAATATGCTCTTGCCGAAAACCCGTTTTCCTGCTATTCCCGCCCGTGAATACAGCAACTTCAATATAGGCCACATTAAGTGATTTACCTGAATCCCAAACAACCAATCAGTCGTCGCGGGGTATGGAGGTCTCGCGCTCCCCGAGAGAAATTTAACCGTCGCAAATGCGTTTTTTATGCGATTCTAGCCAGTGCATGAAGCAACTTCAAAGTTTCCAATTGGGTTGCAACCGAAATCCGACCTGAATTCCAACCATCCTGTCAGACTGTTGCATCTGCATTCACAAATAATAATCGATGCCCGAAAATGTCGCACAAAGTAGAGTGACTCCAGACAAAATGTTTTAATCCATAGTCAATAAAAAAAAAATTCAGTACAAATTTTGGGGGGGTTGGATGGCCGAATGGTTAGCACGTGCGTGCTGTATCATAAAAAGCCTGTCATTGAGTCAACTGGCGTGGTTTCGAAACCCCGGTTGTACGTGACAAGGAGTAGGGTCGCCTGTCCAACCTCGTGGGTTTTCTCCGGGTCCTCTGGTTTCCTCCCACTGCTAAAGACCCCTACGCGCAAGCGAATTATTGAAAATAAAATTAAACCATATGTTAGTCCCGAAATGACCTAGTTTGTGTCGAGTGGACGTTAAACCCCATTTCTCTCTCTCTCAGTACAAATTTGTGGTTTTCAATTAAAATCAAAGTAAAATTGGTGTGGTATTACTAATAATATTAGATTTCGGATACTTTATTTTGCCAACTAGATAGATAATAATTTTTGATTTCACTTTAACCGTCCGCCCGAAAAGTCAGAAAAATTGCCCGGAAGTTAGCGGGGGTAGCTGCCCTGCCCCCCTGGCTCGCACGCCTATGTGTGGTGCGTCGCCTCTGTACTATTATGCTCCGTGTTATAAAACGATCACACACAACTGTGTATACCCTTTACAATAATAATACTTACTTGCCCATTGAGAACTGACCTTTAATAGAATTAATAGAAACATTTTGATTCAATGAAAGAAATATATCACATGTGCTATTACGAATCACTCGTGAGCCACATATGTAAGATACGGTATATTTACATAAATACATTATTATACCTAAAAGGTCCAAGTGTACTCAAGCATAATTCTATTGTTCCACATCGGCATCAGATTTTCACATTGGGAACTGAAGAATGTTTTGGGATTTAAAATTCCGTTAATTTATATAATGTTCTTGTAATCGTCTTCTTCCAGCTCCTAGTGTAGTAAAGACAAGTAAAACGAAATTTTGAACTATAATAAAACGAAACGAAATAGGATCTGTGTTTTAACCAGATTGTGAATATGATATAATTATAAGCATATAGCGCCACGTGCATGGTAAAAAGCAAAAAGTTCTTCTGAAGTTATAATTCAAACTTACTGCACGTCTTTTTTTCTATAAATGTGCCATTCTCTGTTGAATTGAAATTTTTCTAATCCCTACTTAAATGTTTTCACAGTTTGTATACTGCTTCCCTCGAGCTTCCGGCGCCTCCTGGAATATAGCATGGACGGGGTGTGGATGGTAGGGCGGATAACAATACGGCACCAGTTTGTAAACATGACAGAATGCCAGTCACATGGAGTTAAAGTCCCTGGCCCTGTTTCTCGAAATCTTAACTAACGATAAAATCCAAATTTTAGTAGATACTTCAATTTTGATTGGCTAAGCACTAAAATCAATCTAATATTATCCAATCAAATTACAAAAAAATAGATTTTATTTTAGTTAAAATTTCGTGAAACAGGCCCTAGACGTAGGCCTACTTATTGGCCTCTCACCATTTATTATTATCATTATTTATTACACTACTGATTACACAAAGAAAAAGATATAAAAAAAAATAAAATGGTGGTCCCTTAATAAAGTTCATCCAGATTTTCCGGCGTGGTTACACCTTGTCAGTGATACAGGACGGAGGGTCTGACAAGTACAGCTATCTAGTCGTTCGAATGGGCCGGAAAATCGAGGTCCCGTGTACACGTTGGGGTGCACGTAAAAGATCCCTTGACAGTTGGAATTCGATATAAGAGTAGGCCGTTGTGTCGCTGTCCGGCCAAAATTTCCCTCATAGCACAGTGTATGGCGTATGGCCATCTTCATTATCCCAGTTCGGAGCAGATTAGTAGGACGTTAACCCCCATTTCATTTCATTTAATAATAATTCAATCTATAAGTAATTGAATATTTTAAAAAGGTGAAAGGGGGAGGGGTGCAAATACCACGACGTGATGTTAGGAAAAGGCGACGTAGCGTGTTTTGTTCTTTTTTGAAAGGCATGCGCAGACTCAGTAAAGTAAATCCCCAAGCTAACGGTCTGGACTGGTATAAGCGTATTAATTTTTTGGGCCATATTAATCTATTTTACGGGGCAGGGAGGACCGAATGATTTAAGGCGTGCGCGCTGTATCATAAGGTCTGTCACTGAGTCAACTGGCGCGGTTTCGATTACCCGCTTGTAGGTGACAAGGAGTATGGTCGCTAAAAACCCCTATGCGCAAGCCTATTATTGAAATAAAATTGAACCATATGTTAGTCCCGAAATGACCTGGTTTGTGTCAGTGGACTTTAAACCCTCTCCACCCTGTACCTACCCAACTTACGCCGCCCCATCATTTTTTTCCTGTCACTTTATGAAATGATGTCACAGTCGTTGCATGTTAGTGTACTATGCGTTATCTAAGCATGTCTAGGCTTAACTGCCTTGAGTGAATATAGTTCGATGAACTTTTAAATTCGAAAGAATATAATGATTTATTAATCAATTCGGGTCGGTTTAATGGTATAAAAGACAGAGTATAATCTGTCGTATCGTTTTTCAAAATTTGGATCATATAATTATCTCACAGTATAAAAGGTAAGACATTTATTTTTGTGTATACTCGTCTGGAATAACATGCATGGAAAGTGTGGCTAGCTATTGTATCTACCCAGTCATGCATATACACGGTTGATTTTCAAATATTTCCAGGTCGATTTCTAACTCAGTTATAATCTTAACACGTGCTATTAAACTGTAGTTTATTTTGAATACTCCCAAAATGTTTTTTCTCCTTGTGAATTTTTGCTTTCGAAACATTTTGTGCTGCTGCTTTACATTTATAGTTAAAAATACAATATACAAGAGCTAAATTTGCCTGTTGCGGGTCTTTCTTTAGGCCTGAAATGCTTTCTAAATTATTAATTAGACATTAAGTAACTTATCCAGGGGCTTGTTTCACGAAATTTTAACTAAGATAAAATCCAAATTTTAGTAATTTGATTGGATAATATTAGATTGATTTCTGTGCTTAGCCAATCAAAATTGAAGTATCTACTAAAATTTAGATTTTATCTTTAGTTAAAATTTCGTGAAACAGGCCCCTGGCCATAATCAACTCTCGATGGCATCGGATTTCTCCGATATTAAATAGATTAAAACAGTTCAGCCATATTTTGATTTAGGCTAAAAATGGAGGAGCGAGACTTAGCTTCAAACAACCAGTATGGTGGTTGAAATTATTGCACACGTCTTGTCAAACCTTCAAAGGCTAATATCTTCGCTCACAATAGAGTAATTTGAATGAAATTTTCAAATTATTCATTTTACATTTCTATTTTCGAACTAGTATAGCAAGAAGGGCTAGCTTTTTATCTAAACGTGGTTTCCCCTTGGCAGTGATGCAGGACGGAGGGCCTGACAAGGACAGCTGTCTAGTCATTCGGATGAGACGAAAAACCGAGGTCCCGTGTACACATTGGCTTGCACGTAAAGTGTCCCTTGACAGTTGGAATTCGATTTAGAGTAGGCCGTAGTGCCGCTGTCCGGGCAAAATTTCCCTCATCGCACACTGTATGGCGTATGTCCGTCTTCATTAGCCCAGTTCGCAGCAAAACAGTAGGACGTTAAACCCCATTTCATTTCATTTCTTTATCTAAATCTTACATAATGTATATTTAAAGGATTTAAATCGGTAATATTTGGGACCTACAAATGGGTCGCAACGTATATAATAATGTAATATGAATGTATATAAACTGATTTGCATTCACTTGTTTCGGTTTTTACTCATTTCTAATTAGGTATTTTTAGCGAAATACGCGAGAAGTCTTAATCGAATGCCAATCTCTGGCATCTGGTTATTCCGGTCTACACCGATAGTGTTTATTGTGTATGCTCTCCAGATAGGAATATGACGTCACCGTTTGACATGACTAGTGATATGTCGACCCTTGTTCTTCGACTCCCTTTGTGGCATATGATATGAAATGGGGTTTAGAGTCCTACTGTGTGCAATCTGATTAAAACACAGATCCAATTTCGTTTCGTTTTTATAGTTCAAAATTTCGATTTTACTTGTCTTTACTACACTTGGATCTGGAAGCGTTGTTATTTAACTCGTGTTCTGCTTGAAATGAGGGGTCAGCCAATCAAATGGTCTGTCGAATCGAGCGTTTGATCTTTTTTGCGCGGAACTGTGGGTAGACATTAGCGGCAATAGAAATCAAAACAAAGCAAAAGTAGTTAAAGAATACATGGTGGTCGCTAATTGGTTAATCGAATGACTGACGTAATCGGGTGAAATGTCGCTTGCTTGGTACCTGACGTCATAGAACGTGAACTCCCACTATAACTTGTCAGATCTTCATGTAGTGTAGGCCATCGAAAGTATAAAAAAACGAAACGAAATATAGATCTGTATTTTAATCAAATTGTACTGTGTGCTATGGGGGAAATTTTGCCCGGGCAGCGGGACTATGGCCTACTCTTATATAGAATTCCAACAGGATTTGTTAAAGTTTGGGGGTTGATGGCTAAATGAAATGAAATGAAATTGAGTTTAACGTCATACTGTTTTGCTTCTATACTGGGCTAATGGAAATGGACATACGCCATATCGTGTACTGTGAGTAAAATTTTTCCCGGGCAGTGACACTATGCCTACTTTTATATCGAATTCCAGCTGCCAAGAAACATTTTACGTGCACGCCAATGTATACACCGGACCTCCGTCCTGCGCCAATGACAAGGGAAAGTCACGTCGGAAAATCCCGACGAACTTTCTCGGCCACTGCAGGGATCGAACACGCGACCTCCAGGATAGCGAGTCAGTGTCCTACCCACTTAGGCACCTTGGCTCCCCGGGTTGATGGCTAAAATGACACGAAACCACTTATCACTTAAATGAGAAATGACATCGGTTTTGTAGTTATAAAATGTCGTTGCTGAGAAAAAGGGTAGTTAAACATACATTATGCTAGAGCTAAATCTGCCTATTGCAGGTCTTTCTTTAGGCCTGAAATTTTATCTAAAATATTAATTAAACATTAATTAACTTATCAGGACCATAATCAACTCTCGATGGCATCGCTAGCCTGCGATATTTACTGGATTAGGATTCGATTTGCTGCTTAACTTTCATTGATGATTAAATCATGACGTGGATAATCGAGACTATGCTTTTTATCGTACTGACTTTAGTAATGATGATCGAGGCTAGACCGAAAATCACTAATTCTCGGTTCAGAGTGGATCAATTTGACTGAAATTTTCCGCAAATCCCCTTTACATTATCTAGTGTTAACTATTATAGTGAGAACTGTCGCCCTTATATAATCTCCCATAATGTATCTTTAATAAATCGTTCTAGGATAGTTGACATTTAATGTATAGGCCGTGTCACCAACACACCTAATCTTCATGACAAACAGGTTATACCCTAAAGCTTACGACTGGCAACCGGATCTATTCACTTGATTTGATATGTGTTTATTTTTTGCAATGTTTATTGTTCTGTCTTGTCCGCAGGTTTATTTTGTAGATTTTTGTCTTGCGTACAGTGTGGTCCACCGGAACTTTTTATTAGTATTCATGACGTCATATGCCATGTTATAAACATACTTACTTCCTGCTTTACGACATATTTGTACACATATTTGACAGCACGATTTGCATAGCAAGAGTTGACTTATACTTCGTAACAATCCCAGCACACAATCAATCATCTTTACGACACATGTTAAAGATGCATCCCCACGTGTAAACTGTGTGATTTGATTATTTATTTATAACAAAAACATATTCAAACAAACGTATCTATCTAACCTATTCAGCAAAAGTCTATTTTAAGCTCCTTTGTTTATCACGTGACTTGGGATTTTCCAACAGCTTTCTAGTCGTTCGGATGGAACGAAAAACCGCGATCCCGTGTTATTGGCGTGCAAGTAAAAGAACCCTTGGCAGTTGGAAGTCGTTATAAGAGTAGATCATAGTGCCGCTGTCAGGGCAAAATGTCCCAGCATAGCACACTGTATGGTGTATACCCGTCTTCATTAGCCCAGTATACGAGCAGAAGCTATAAGCCAACTTCTTTTTCCGATGTATAATGACAGTCTGCGGTACGTTTAAAGTAGCTAAGTCTCTAATTCAACATTATCCAAAGTTTTCGACATTGAAAACACAAATTATTTGTCAATTTAAATATTTTAAATCAACATTGATTGGCTTCTGATAATCCAATATTAATTAAGACAATGTAAACATTTTACCAGTAGTACACGAATCGTGTACCATAATGCGTTTCAGTGCCATTTGTAACAAGGGACCCGAAGAATGAGGCTAGACATATTCCATAAGTCATGTCAAACGGTGACCACATATTCTTATCTTGAGAACATGCACACTACGTACTATCGGGGTAGACTGGAATAACCAGACACCGTATAGAGGTTGCCATTCAATTAAGACTTAAGTATTTCGTCGAACATAACTGATTGATTTGAAATTAGAGTAAAAACGGAAACGATTGAATGTAAATCAGTTTATATGCATTCATATTACATTATTATATGCGTTGCTACCCATTTGTGTCAATTTCTAGGTCCCAAATATTAGCGATTTAGCTCCTTTAAGTTTCTCAAAGATCAGACAGCAAGCAGACAGGTTGTCAGTTAGTGTGTTCAGGGAATTCGGTATATTTTTCTAGTAAGACTGGGTGTCTCTACTTTCCATTTATACATATAAATACACGGCTATAATCTATTTGTTAAGGTCAACTCAATGTTTGTCAAGGTCGCTGAGATGTATGTAAGGTTAGGCCGCGTGATTGTTGGCGAGATAGTGGTTTAGCGTTAGGGTAAGCATTGTGGCTAAATCCAGGGTTAGGTTTAAGAATTTGGGGGAGAGGTTAAGTCTCCACATAAGCACTGACCTAGGATGATGAAAAATTAGTTCGTGATATTTCCTAGTTTTATTAAAAATACATACAATACATTAGATTTATATACAAAGGCGATTTCACTGTTTATTGGTGTTGGTGGCGCTGATGGTCTTCCTTGGGTGGTGCTTCTGGTATTCTGGTATTATTGTTTCTGAAGAAAAAAGAAAATAAATTTGAGGCTCTCGGGAGAGAGCCACATTAGTGTGTTTCTTACTACGGATTGGATTTTCTAAAAAATCGTGTTTGTTCCACGTCACCGGGTTAGGGCTAGGGATTCTTATATCTAATTGATTTTATTTACTAACGGTTAGGGATAGGATTTGATATATGGTTTGTTTTGGGTCAGGGTGGAGACTGGTCTTATTTAATCTAATTTACTGTGCACTAGGATGTCGTTCAGATTTTTATTTTTAGAATATGCAATTATAAGTTTCTGTGTGAATATTTTCGGGTGATTTTCTTGGAGATCAGTATAGTGTTTTCTGATGATTTTGGATGCACTTGCTGCTGTTGCGCTAAATGGAACTACAAAAGGAGCTATTGCGCTAGCCGTATGAATATTTAAACCTAGGGGGGGGGGGGGGTTGTTGTTTTCAATGAGCTGGCCTTATCATTTAGCACTTACTATAAATACAAGGGCACGCATCGTCATCTGCTGATTTTTAATCTTCAGTTTCCAACAAGTCGACCATGACGAGATTTCTAATTACATCTTTAGTGTGTGCTAGTTTGTTTCTGTGTTCCTCTGGATTTAGTTATTCGTTGAGCAAGGTTTCAACTCTGTACGTACCAGCCTATGATGCCACAGATAATGCTGTCTACGGATTCAACCAGGGGACAGTTGAACAGATTGCTTATGATCCCCAGAATAAAATAGTTTACGCTGTTGGTGAGTATGTTTAACTTTTTACCATATAATCAATTTTATATGAATGAAATGAAATGGGGTTTAATGTCCTACTGTTCTGCTCCTATACTGGGCTAATGAAGACGGGCATACGCCATACAGTGTGCTATGAGGGAAATTTGGCCCGGGGAGCGGCACTATCGCCTACTCTTATATCGAATTCCAACTGCCAAGGGATATTTTACGTGCATTCCAATCAATTTTATAACATGACACAAGGAATATAAGTAAGCAAACCATAGAGCAGTAAAGGGTTTGGAAAGATTTACCCAATACTACCCAATACCACCCCATACCACGTCAATATAACCACATACTACCCAATACTACAACATAATGATGCAAATGTGCATATTACTTGAAATAGGTAGTTATATGGCGGGAAAATTACTTCAGATGCAGTTACCGATGTCTGGCTCTCCTATTTGCCTCCCTATACAGTCACACCCTTCTCACGAACCGGCAAGACGTTCCAGAGATATAAGCCGTACGAAACCTCAGTGGCTGATAATATAATCTTTGATTTCATCTGGTGTATTCAATTAATGGTTCTAAACGGTTTTAGGACTCGGGTTTGTGGTGTCTGAGGAATCCGGGGGACCCGCAGAAAACCCATAAGGTTACATACTATCGTTACGTACAAGTTTGGGACTTTACGATCTAATGCACACGCGTTAGATGATTCGGCCACCCAACTAACAAAAGAGAGCTACACCTTGAATTGCTAGTCCATGTTCATGAAGCAACGACCGCGAGTTTTACAACATCTATGATGTACGTAGTTAAGGCGAGATCAAGCCTTCTATTGAAGGTGCTGCTAGCCAAGAGAATGTATCTTTCAAATTAACGAGATCTAATTTCAGGAGCCAATATCTTCCATGTCATTGATGTATCCAATCCCAACAGTATGCAGATTGTCTATCATAAAGTGTATGCCAACACTGACTTAACAGATATTGAGTTTTGTGGAGACCATGTTTTCTTTGCTGTTGACAACGATACCAATGTTGAGAGTCGTTTACAAGGCACAGTCTATGTTTTGAAGAAATACCAGAAAAACAACGCAGCTGAATCCTTGAGAGAAATACACAGAATAAAAGGTAAATAAAGGAAAACAATGATTGGTTCTTATATACCAGGCCATTAGCAATCTGATTAAAACACAGATCCTATTTCGTTTCGTTTTTTATAGTTCAAAATTTCGTTTTACTTGTTTTTACTACACTAGGATCTGGAAGAGTTGTTATATTACCGGCGTTCGGGTTAAGGTGAGGGTTTAGCCAATGACACGGTCTGTTACGGCGAGTTCTTGGCGCTTGATGCACGCAACTGTGGGTAAACTACTAGAAACATCAACATTGATTGATTAATAAATGTCTGACGTCATAGGGCCAAAGCCGCTCGTACATCCCTGACGCAACCTTCCAGTACAACCGGTCAATCTTCATGTTGTATAGACCATTGAAAATGTAAAAAGCGAAACGAAATATAGATCTGTATTTGAATCAGATCGCGTTAAGAGTAGGCCAAGGAGCTGTTGTCCGGGCAAAGTTTGCTAATACATACACTGCGTAGCGTATGCCCCACTATGTTCCTGAAGCAACGACTGTCAGTTTTACAACATCTTGACGTTGCCCGATTGCTTTGCCATTCCCGAACTTAAAGCTACGTTATCTCCCTTTATTGAAGACACGTGAACAGTACCGTCCAATCAGAGGTTGTGATAGAAACACACTCAAATCAAACACGACGACCTCCACAGAAACCTTAATATTGAACGAACCTTGAACTTTGCAACTCGATTATCACAGGTAGATATTTTAGCTGGAAAGCGTAAGACTTGGTATTCGCGATGATCAAGGAATCTGATAGGCTCACGAGCTGGGTGAATACCCAATCGAAATTAGTGCCAAAATATGTAGGGCATTACGTGAAGGCCTTGATAAGATGTACGGAGTTAAAGCGAGATCAAGCCGTCTATTGAAGATGATGCTCCACTGGTATTAGTGCAGAGACGTTAGACGGTAATGATCATTTCATGTGTTTTCTCATTTGCGATCAATGGGTTTAACGTCCACTCGACACAAACTAGGTCATTTTTAGACTAACACACGGTTCAATTTTATTTCAACAATTCGCTTGCGCTAACAGTGGGAGGAAACCGGAGGACCCAGAGAAAACCCACAGCGCGCACGTGCTAACCATTCGGCGATCTAATCCTTCCCCTCTCATTTGCGATCAATACATTTTCAATACAATTTTCTGCCCCTACCGGATAAAAATCTCCACCTTCTGCTCTTTTTAGTTGGCGCCATACCTGATATGATCAAGCCCACTAAAGACTGTCGGACAGTTCTAGTAGCAATAGAAGCCGAGGCTTTTGGATCTGGGAGCGCTTTCCAAGATCCCCAAGGTGGCGTTGGTGTCATCAAATTTCCTAATGGAGTCGAACAACCAAACACCTATACTAATTTAGATTTTACCGCCTTCAACAACAGGTAAGAACTGTATTGGTTTATGTATTACTGTATGTGTTATGGGAAACCACAGTGACCCGAAGATTGTGGCGTTGGCAAATGCTAGGTTCCCACTATCACGATGTGTGCTGCATTTGAAATCGTGGTTCTAATTGTGAACTAATCGTGGTGATGCTATCAGGTCTTATCATATATTGAGGCCAGTCGGAGCAATCGTGTCGATCGTATCCGAAAGTATCTGCACGTACCAGATCGTGGAATCACCAGGGACAATCCTGTCGTGACGAATCGCACGACAGTGGGAACCTAGCATGACTAACTAGGTATTCCCCGAGAATGTTTAAAGGAAATTTCCATCCACGTTTCCACTTTACGGTGTTGCAGGGCCGCAAAGGCTTTCAGACGGGACGCTACCTGGCGTGCATGAATATTTGTCATATAGAATTCGATGAAAAGCGGGCGGAGACTCCCGTCTTCATATAGTCATATTGATGTAGAAAAGTATGACATTAAACCCCATTTCATTTCTTAAAATCTGATAACACCACCCTTCTCTAATGTTTTAACATATACTATTCAAAAAAAGTAGGGGATATTTGATTTTGGGGGCATAATACTAAAATATGCAAATGACTACGAAAAAAGTCACTATAGAACTTAACAGAAGAAACATTTCCAGTTACATGTGACGCCCAAACGCACCAATAGCTACCGCATGGAATGCAGGTGATGCTTGGGATCATCATGGGGGTCCAACCCAAGATTTGCACGACTTTGAATGTTACAGTCATTGTGGCATTGAATTCCAGGGTGGAAACATCAGTTTAATTGTTTTAGTGACCAGAAAACAAATTTTGATATGCGTCGGCTTACCCAAAATGAAAGGTTACGTGCCCTTGGCATGCTACAGATCGGCACAACACAGGCGGTTGTGGCGCGGACGATGAATGTTTCTCAGTCTGTCATAAGCAGGCTATGGTCCAGATACCGTGATACACAATCTGTACAGGACAGACCACGCTCAGGTCGACCAAGGGCGACAACTCAAGCCCAGGATCGATTTATCCGTACCTTGGCCTTGAGAAATCGTGTCATCACAGCAAATCAGATCAGCGCTCGTCTTCAAACAGACACTGGTGTGAGAGTGAGTGGCCAGACGATTCGGAATCGACTGCATAGGGGTCACCTTCGCGCCCGACGTCCTCGCGTGATCCCTTGTTTGAGAGATCATCACATTCAGGCAAAACGTCGTTGGTGTAGGGATCGTCAACACTGGGATAATCGACGCTGGAGCAATGTGATGTTTTCAGATGAGTCAAGGTTCACTGTTGATTTTTTGGACAGACGTAGGAGGGTGTGGCGTCGTCGAAACGAGCGCTTCCAAGACGTTAACGTCATCAGACATGATCGATTTGGGGGTGGTTCTGTTATGGTGTGGGGAGGCATCACTGTTGCTGGAAGAACGGCTTTACATGTAGTTGCAGGGCGTGTTACAGGCCAGTACTACCGGGACAACATCTTGGCAGTCCATGTTGTGCCGTTCGCACGACGTCATGGCCGCCGTTTCATCTTCCAGGATGACAACGCAAGATGTCACAGGGCCAGGATCGTTACAGGTTACCTCCAACAACAGAACATCACCACATTACCTTGGCCAGCACTGAGTCCCGACCTCTCCCCCATCGAGCATGTCTGGGGCATGCTTGGACAGAGGTTACGTCAACGTCAACAACGTCCTGCCAATGTCCAAGAACTTGCTGCTGCGTTGCAACAGCAATGGGACAATCTGGACCAAAATGACCTTAGACGTCTCATTAGGAGTATGCCACGTCGAATCAATGCTTGTTAGTCTAACGATCATTTGGAATAAATCGATGAATGTGAACTTCATTTCATTTTGTCATTTGTTTCTTCGTCAGTTTCATTAGGTGACTTTAATAACACTTAAAAATCAAATATCCCCTTCTTTTTTTGAATAGTATATTAATGTAATATTTTGTTTCTATGATATAGATTAACTGAATTAGAAGATCAGGGCGTGCGGTTTGTTTACAGAGAGAATAATAATACCTTTGATAGAGACGTTGAACCAGAATATATAACATACAATACTGATGAATCTATAGCTTATATTGGTCTACAGGTAAATCTATACCTTATATTGGTCTTCAGGTAAATATATAGCTTATATTAACCTTCAGGTAAATCTATAGCTTATATTGGTCTACAGGTAAATCTATACCTTATATTGATCTTCAGGTAAATCTATAGCTTATATTGATTTTCAGGTAAATCTATAGCTTATATTGGTCTTCAGGTAAATCTATAGCTTATATTGATTTTCAGGTAAATCTATAGCTTATATTGGCCTTCAGGTAAATATATAGCTTATATTGATCTTCAGGTAAATCTATGAGCACCGGTAATTTGATTATTAAAGAGTAATGCCATATTATATTAGTACCACAATCTCAGACAGAAGAATTAGAAAGATTGCACTATTAGGCGTAGGGCATACTCCATGCAGAGTTTCGTTTGATTACAGCTAATGCCACTACTCACTGCTGTAAACAAAGCAAATTCTTGTTATAAATTATGGCTGGTCAATAGTCCGATTAACAACCAATAGCTAACTGCGTAACAATACCAAACAGAGCTCCAAATTGGACCACATATGTTTACATAACGTTACGTCATGACTCGCGATTTTATTATGCCCAATTAACCAGTGCATAGCAGAATATTGCAGAAAAACTAATTGTGTGACAAACAAGGTTATCAACTGTCAACACGGATATAATGTAAACAATATTGTTTTGAGACGAACAACACTTTCACTGTTTTTAATTCCTTAAATCACTGTCCAAAGTTTTAGGAAGACCCCTGATTAAAAGACAGGCTGTCATGTTGCTGTAGTTGGGATAGATTTGATTGAACGGGAAGAATAGACACACTCTCTCAAAAGCGAAAGTATCAGAAGCTAATCCAGCAATGGCCAGAGAGGGATTTCTCGGGCCATTGCGTCAGGAATATGGGCGTAGGGTAGTTGTGAAGGTTTTCTTTGATTATCTTTTTGTGTCAAAAACGTGTAATCTTTTAGCATAAGCAAATGTTTTACGGAAAGCCATAATCTTATACGTGGTTTAATGGTCGAGAGCGAGACATTAAGTAATATATTTAAACAACTTGAGGGCGAGTTCAATATATTACGCAATGTCTTAAGCTCGAGACCATTAAACAACTGAAAATACAGACACTTTACAATACGTCAACTAAATAATGTACGATTGACATATTACCTGTACCATTATTTGAAATAATGGTGCGCCAACATCAGAGGATGACGTCACATCTTTATTTTACTAATATTTATTACAGGAAAACAATGCTATTGCGGAAGTTAACCTGATAACCGAGACAATCACGGCTATTCATGGACTTGGAGCTAAATCATGGAGTAACTACAAACTTGATCCTAGTGATAAAGATGGTGGTAAGATCACGTGGTATTTTGAATTACAAAAGTAATCTTATATTAAAAGAACTAAACCCCCTTGATGCGCATTAGAAATGATTTCTTTATGAAGTATTCTGGGTCCACAGAGAGAAGAGAGAGAGAGAGAGGGGGGGGGGGGGGTTACGTTCGCTCGAGAGAGATGGGTTTAACGTCCACTCGACACAAACCAAGTCATTTCGGGACTAACATATCGTGCAATTTTTATTTCAATAATTCGCTTGTGCGTAGGGGTCTTTAGCCGTAGGAGAAACTCGCAGCACCCGGAGAAAACCCACAAGGTTGGACAGGCTACCCTGCTCCTTGTCACGTACAATCAGGGAATCGAAACCACGCCAGTTGACTCAGTGAGAGACCTGATCATTCGGCCATCCAACATAGGGTTTATTCCCGATTGAACGAAGGGCGTCTAGGATAATGTCTTAAGTGGCATATATGTTAAATCAGGCGATACGTTTCAAGTCAGTAGCTTGAAGCGTATATATGGTATTAGTGTCAGTGGCCTGTGGCACGAAGTAACGGTATATTGTCGCATACATAATATATTATGTCAACGCTTGGGCGATATAATATATTATGTCAACGCTTGGAACTAGGATGGAGGTGACTAGGCATGAACTTGCAACGATAGATTTAATTGGCGCTTTGATAACCAATGAATGCTTTGGAGACATATTTTGGCGGTATTTTCCATCATGGAATCGGTAAGTTTCGATTGTTTTTTTCTTTTCTGTTTTTTCTCTCTTTTCTGTGTCCTAACCCTAACCCTAACCCTAACCCTAATCCGAAAGAAAAGTGCCCTTTTTTGAAATTCTGACATCACAGGTGCCCTTTTTCTGATAAGGATGCCCTCTTTTATTTACAGGGACACTTTCTATTGTTAAGGGGGTGGACCGGTCCCCATGGTCCAACCCCTGGATCCGCTCTGATGACGCGTACATTCCACTGAGTCTACAGGTCTAATATGCTAACACGCTTGGAGCGTCAACACAATATATTATGTCGCCCAAGCGTTGACATAATATATTATGTATGCGACAATATACTGTTACTTCGTGCCACAAGCCACTGACACTAATACCATATATACGCTTCAAGCTACTGACTTGAAACGTGCAGGGTGGTTAAATAGTTCAATTTTTTGGTACAAATAGGAAATTTCTTAATTAAACGCAAATTATTTTTTAAAAGAAACGTTAATTGTTTAGATTTTGACCAAACACAGATCCTATTTCGTTTCGTTTTTTATAGTTCAAAATTTCGTTTTACTTGTCTTCATAACACTAGAATCTGGAAGAGTTGTTATATAACCCGCGTTCTGGTTAATGTGAGGGGTTATCCAATGAAATAGTCTATTACGGTGAGCTCTTGACTTGATTTGCATGGAACTGTGGGTAACCCACTAAAAACACTGATTGGTTAATCAAATATCTAGCGTCATAGGGTCAAAAGCCGCTCGTATGACATCTGACGCGACTTCCAGTTGCAACTGGTCAGATCCTCTGAAAGTATAAAAAAGATATAGACCTGTATTTTAATCAGATTGTGTTCTGACTCATCACTAATTGAAATGATCTACCCGAGCAACCCAATTCAACATCAACGGAGTTTGGCGCTTTTGAGTTGAATACTGGCGAAAAGTTAAATTCATTGCTTCTGTTTATTATTTTTACAGGAATTGATTTGTCAAATTACGATATAAAATCATTCTACCTGCCCGATTCTATACATTTTCAAACATGGATGGGTACCAATATCATCATAATGGCTAATGAAGGCGACGCTAAAGACTACGAGGATCTGATTGGTTGGAATGAGGAGGTGAGAGGAAGCAAACTTGCGGGTAAGTAGTCTCTATCATCCAGAAAAATATTCTACGATTATTAGTCTGGATGTGTTGTCAACATTTGAGAATAATAGGTCATCGGCTAGATTATCCGGTCTTTTACATTATCATAGACAATATCTAAGGGAGATAACTAGTCCTAAAACAAGATTTTATGACGTCAATGAAAATAAGAATGCCATTTTAAAAAATCCATTTGACTGCATAGCCATTTCAATATCCAACACTATTAATTTTTTTATTGTAAAATGTCTCTCTTCATGGGCCATATGTTTTTTTTAAAAAATTAATCCTAATTCGTCTTCACGATTCATGTTTGTTTATATCAATGCAAGAATTACGGAATTTATTGCGGGGAGGGGCGCAACTCTTAGTTGACTTGGCCAAAGATACTGGATAACCAACCACATGAAAAACCAAATTCCTGGTTACGCATGGACAATGGACTTTTCGTCAAATATTGACAACGGTTCCAGACTCTCCCTACGTTGAGGACCAGGAGATTCTGGGTGACCGAGACTAGCTGGTGAGGAAGTTGATATAAAACTGTAGGATTCATGCGCATACAATCTGAGGTACAAATGCGTGTTTGCAGGTAAAGGAATGTTACTTATACAAGCCTTGAGTTTCCACTCCTGGGTTTCAAGTAACAAAGTGTAAGGTCACCTGCGACACCACGGTTTTACGTGACAAAGAATAATGTCACCTGCTGATTATTATGGAGTATCTTCGGGTTCACCGAATTCTCCTTGCTGGTATTGGTCGACTCACAAGAGGAGTAGGAGTATTGAAATAACAAAATGTTACCCCCCCCCCCCCCAACTACAATAATACTTTCCATGGACAAAATTCGTTGCATCTTCAATTTGATTAAGATACAGAAATATATTTCGTTTCGTTTTTTATGCATTCGACGGCCTCTACTACATGCAGATCTGACCGGTTGTACTGGAAGGTTGCATCAGCGTTGACGGTTCTAGTAATATAGTAACCCTCCAGATCCTAGTGTAGTATAGTCAAGTAAAGCGAAATTTTGAACTATAAAAAACGAACCGAAATAGGATCTGTGTTTTAATCAGATTGTTACATTTACTACCTTCGTGAAAATTTTATATTAGTTTTTACAAAATATTTTTATGCAATATTTCAGCAAATGTTTCAAACGCCATACCCCATCTTGTCCAAACAGCTTTAGCAGATGATAACAGACTTGGTAAGTTTATAAATAACAATAACCGACACAGTTGGTAAGTTTATAAATATCAGTAACCCATACAGTTGGTAAGTTTATAAATAACAGTAACCGATACAGGTGGTAAGTTTATAAATAACAGTAACAGATACAGTTGGTAAGTTTATACATTACAGTAACCGATACAGTTGGTAAGTTTATAAATAACAATAACCCATACAGTTGGTAAGTTTATAAATTACAGTAACCGATACAGTTAGTAAGTTTATAAATAACAGTAAACAATACAGGTGGTAAGTTTATAAATTACAATAACCGATACAGTTGTTAAGTTTATAAATTACAGTAACCGATACAGTTGGTAAGTTTATAAATTACAGTAACCGATACAGTTGGCAAGTTTATGAATAACAATAACCGACACAGATGATAAGTTTATAAGTAACAGATACAGTTGGTAAGTTTCTAAATAACAGTAAACAATACAGTTGGTAAGTTTATAAATTACAGTAACCGATACAGTTGGTAAGTTTATAAATAACAGTAAACAATACAGTTGGTAAGTTTATAAATTACAGTAACCGATACAGTTGGTAAGTTTATAAATAACAGTAACCGATACAGTTGGTAAGTTTATAAATAACAGTAACCGATACAGTTGTTTTATCTAGTAGTGTTGTAGGTATTATAGATAAATTTTTGTATTTAAAATGCTGACGGACCCTGTGGCTGGTTTTGTTATTAACCGAAAGAAGTGTAAAAAAAAACAGTTAGTAACAATCTGATTAAAACACAGATCCTATTTCGTTTCATTTTTATAGTTAAAAATTTCGTTTTACTTGTCTTTACTACACTAGGTTCTGGAAGAACTACGCTAGGATCTGGAAGAGTTGTTATATAATCCGCGTTCCTATTGATGTGAGGGATTAGCGGATGAAACGGTCTGTTACGGCGAGTTTTTGGCGTGAGTTGCATGGAACTGTGGGTAACCCACTAGAGACATCAGCGCTGATTAGTTAATCAAATGTCTAACATCATAGGGTCAAAAGCCACTCGTATGACCTCTGTCGCGAACTCCCGTTACAGCTGGTCAATCTTCATGTAGTAGAGGCCATTAAAAGTATGAAAATAAAACGAAACGAAATATTGATCTGTAATTTAATCAGATTGAGTTAGCAATAAAGGATTTATTTTACTTTAAGGTCGTCTGTTGTTTAGTAAAGTAGACGGTCTGAACTCGGCCGGAAAATATGACAATGTATATGCTTATGGTGGAAGAAGCATGACCATTAGATCAGTTGTCAGTGGTATGCCAGTCCTGTATGATAGTGGGGGAATTATCGAGGAGCAGATTGCCAAAAACTTTCCAGACTTTTTTAATAGTAACGGTAGATCTGGAGATACGCCTAAAGAAAATATGGATGGTCGCTCAGACAACAAGGTAGGCCTCTTGATTCCTCAAAAATATGTGTTTTTGTTACCCATAAGCGATCGCCATGTTTCTTCTACAAATTGAAAACAAGTATGGCGGTCGTTTAGGGCGTTACCTTTTTTAATTAATTATTTTTGTAGTTTTGTAATCGGAGTTCAGCTTAAACCTTAATCTAACCCTAACGAACAATCTACATAATAATATGACGTCATATGTGCAGAACAGTCTCCGATCTAGCGTTCTCCAATAATGTAGTCAGAATTTTCGTCGTGTCAATCTATACAATATGGACATGCCCACGCCGTCACGTGTACTGACGATAATATATCTCCAAACAAAATATGTAATCTAAATATAGCAATATACTCAACCGTCCAGACACTCGTTTCGATCACTGGTCAACAGTGGCGCTTCTTAGCACCTTATTGGGAGATGCAAATTGGGGAGGTTCGGGAATTTCCGAAATGAGTATTTTGTGGGTGCCTAATCCTAACCCTAACCTTTTTAGAAGATTGAACTTAGTTCCAATTTAACTTTTACTCCTCTTAAAATAGTGGGGGGGGGGGGCGGGGTGGATGGCCGAATGGTTAGCGTGTGCGCGCTGCATCATAAGGTCTGTCATTGAGTCAACTGTCGTGGTTTCGATTCTTCGCTTGGACGTGACAAGGAGTATGGTCGCCTGTCTAACCTTCAGGTTTCCTCCAAATGCTAAAGACCCCTACGCACAAGCTAATTATTGAAATAAAATTGAACCATATGTTAGTTCCGAAATGTCTTAGTTTGTGTCGGGTGGACGTTGAATCCTCTCTCGTTGATACCGCTCCAAACTTATTGATTTAAGACGTTTACCCATCTATGTTACAGGGACCTGAATGTGAATCGTTAGAAACAGCTGTTATTGGTGGTCGTTTGATTATATTTGTTGGTAATGAAAGACCTGGAAGTATCTCTATATTCTCTGTCGGTGATGATTTCTCAGATACTCGATATGAATCAACTTATTTTGGTATTCCACAATCTGATGTCACATTCGGGAGTATGTACGATCAGAGGACTTTATCAGAAATAGATCCAGAAGATATCAGGTAACCTACACTGTCACCCAAGGCTTCGCGCGTTTCCGTTATTTGAGAATGCTGTCTGTATAACCTGTTTTTTTGTCTTTTAAGACAATACTGATATATTTGTATTCAGTGATTTTAAAACCAGTTCCAGACAATTATTTTGACAAAACAGGTCTTCATAAATGGAAGAACCAGCGCAATATAGGTATTCGCGATAAACATTATATTTATCGATTTTTTATAAACATTATATTTATCGATTTTTTATAAACATTATATTTATCGATTTTTTATAAACATTATATTTATCGATTTTTTATAAAATTCTCAATCTGATTACAACACAGATCCTATTTCGTTTCGTTTTTTATAGTTCAAAATTTCGTTTTACTTGTCTTCACAACACTAAGATCTGGAAGAGTTGTTATATAATCCGTGTTCTGGTTGATTTGAAGGAGTACCCGATGAAACGTCCTGTTGCATCGAGTTCTTGGTAAACCACTAGAAACATCAACGCTGATTAGTTAATCAAATGTCTGACGTCATATGGTCAAAAGCCACTCGTATGACCCCTTACGCGGCCCCCAGTACAACTGGTCATATCTTCATGTAGTGTAGGCCATCGAAAGTATAAAAAAATGAAACGAAATACAGATCTGTATTTTAATCAGACTGTAAAATTCGTGATTGTGTTTAGATATTTGACTGACTTATATCGGATGATATGAATGATTTGTTTTTAAAGATATGTATCTCCCAGTGACAGCCCAACCAATGGTCCAGTTATATTTGTTGCTGGTTCAGTGTCAGGTACCCTATCGATCCTTAGAGTGAATGTAAATGATGAACCGCCTGTAAATGATGACAATCCTGGTAAGTTACTCCCCTTTAAAATACAGATGGGGTTGGATGGCTGAATGGTTAACACGTGCGCGCTGTATCATAAGGCCTGTCATTGAGTCAACTGGCATGGTTTTGATTCCCCGGTTGTACGTGACAAGGAGTAGGGTCGTGGATTTTCTCCGGGTCCTTTGGTTTCCTCCCACTGCTAAAGACCCCCTACGCGCTGGCCAATTATTGAAATAAAATTGAACCATGTGTGATTCTAAGATGTTACACACTGTGTATGTAATATGTAATGGAAAAAAAGTAAAATAGTTAGAATTATATTATCTCGAATTGCCTTTGAACATCAGTATTACATGATAGCTAGCAAAAAGAAACAAAACTGTGATTTAGAACATATTTTCTTTAAGAAAACGCAATTTTTCTTACATCCATCGTAGCTCGAATCTAAACAATCAGTACAAATTACGAAAAATTATTAGCTATTTACAAGGACGTGTTTTTTTTGTTTTTCAGGTTCAGGTTCATCAGTATTGGGTAAGCTACTATTAAGATCGAGAGATTCATCTAACCAAACACGTAGATAGACTACTAACATTATTAATATTAGGTGAGAGCACAAAACCCTTTAACACAATATGATATTCCCGAATCATTAATGCTGATCATCATCATCAGAATTACGTCGGAACTTGTTTTTTCATTACTTACTGTCTCATGGATTTGGCTATTCGACAAGCCAAATTGACTGTCCAATGAAAAAATAATCAATCATAATTATTATCTGATGTAAATCTGAGGTTTCAGGGCCCTGCTTCTCGAAATCTTAACTAAGATAAAATCCAAATTTTAGTAGATACTCCAATTTTGATTGGCTAAGCACTAAAATCAATCTAATATTATCCAATCAAATTACTAAAATTTCAATGTTATTTTAATTAAAATTTCGTGAAACAGGCCCCTGGGTTTTAAGAAAGTAATGATCGGGACGTTAACCTTTATTGCAACTTGTGGCTAAGTAAGATGCATGGAAGTCGCGGGTTCGCTCCCGGTGTTGACCGAGAAGGTTCATCGGGATTTTCCGGCTCCGCTTTCGCCTTGTCAGTGGTGCAGGAAGGAATGTCTGACAGGGACAGCCGTCTAGTTGTTCGAATTCGACGAAAAACCGAGATCGGGTGTACACATTGGCATGCACGTAAAAAAATCCCTTGGCAGTTGGTATTTTATATAAGAGTAGGCCATAGTGCCTCTCTCCGGGCAAAATTGGCCTCATAGCACACTTTATGACGTATGCCCGTCTTCATTAGCCCTGTTGGAGCAGTAGGACATTAAACCCCATTTCATTGCGACTTCAAATGATCGTGTTAGCGGGTCGTGGGATTCGTTAATCTTTTTACCAAACCATGGACAATTGAGGGCTTATAATCAATGAAAATTCGGTTTTTTGGAATCATTTTCCTGAATTTTGAAAATTCGGTTGAAGTATTTGAATATTTTGTTAGGTTAAACTCAAATAATTCGATCTATTAAACTTGCATTTGTTGCTTACTAACACAGTCTAACATCAGCTGTTATAATCTATTATCTTGCCTCAATAACCAATCTGATTAAAACACAGATCCTATTTCGTTTCGTTTTATATAGTTCACAATTTTGTTTACTTGTCTTTACTACACTAGGATCTGGAAGAGTTGTTGAATAACAGGCGTTCTGGTTAATGTGAGGGATTAGTCAATGAAACGGTCTGTTACGGCGAGTTACACTTACTGTCTGTTCCAGGCGACACTACGACTCGAAAATTGCTTACTATTTCTTCATTTTTTAATTAAAATGGTTAAAACTTCACGACCTACCTTGAATTGTCACCCCATTACTTTCTTCGTCGAACCTTAACGCCTATAAATTTGATGAAATCCTTTATTCTCTTGTAAATTTCACATTTTTCGACACTTAATCAATTTCTCAGAACATAAACATTATCACTGCGCTTGCGTAAGTTGGGTCACTCGTATATCAGGTAGGGGTATACGGTATTCCACAAATCGGGTGCATTCGGTTAATAATATTTGTGCGGGAGGATTCGCCCGTTTGTTTTGCGGCAATGCGGGGGGTGTTGGTGTGAGTAAGTTTGTGTGTGTTTAGGTTTATTTGGTTACCGGTATTTTAATATTCCTTAGAGATATTCATAGTATTGCATGTCTCCCAAACTATTCCTAACGGAACACTTATTTTCAGCATTAGATGGCATGGTAACCTTTCTGATAAAGTATAAATTTGTACGATATCTTATAATTTTATGGACTTAAATAGTTTTGATTAACGGTATCTATTTGTATTTATATTCGCGTTCCAAAGGCACACAAGATTTGTTTCAGATATTGCCGCAGAACAGATAGAAAAAAACGAATCAATCGTAGAAAATATAATTCCTTGAATAATGGACCATCCTTTCATCACATGCATTTGCAAGTGCACGATGCTGTGTGTATATAAGAAGGTGGATACTTTAATTTTAGCACAAGAAAAGGCCTATGTCTCCCGAAGAAACACCAATTTTAATATCAAAGACGTTAAGCCTCTTTTCCTGGAGGCCACGGCTAGTGTGACAACTGGAGATTGAGCTGCATGTCAACACGTCATAGACAAGGTGGAGGATCGGTTTTGGGAAGCGGAAGATTGAATGAGGAAGTACCACCAGTCGTGATTTCGTTCGGGAGTGACAGCGAGTGTGAGAGTGAGGATTTGGGCGACAATTTCAGTGGAGAGTGTGATAGTGAAAATGTTGCTGAGAATATTGATGGCGGTGGTGTTGCGAATGAAGATTCGAGTGATGATGATATAAACGTGTGTAGTGTATGAGATTGTGAGAACCCACCGGGAAGTGAATCGGATGCGATTGTGGATTGGGTGGGTTATGATGTGTTTGAAAGGTGGATGCTTGTGAAAGTACAGGGAAAGAGATTGATGTAAGCGCAAGTGTGGTAAAGTGTGTAGATTTTGTGCATAAATTGTATGATAGATATAGCGGCTCGTGAATGTAGGCCAGACAGCTTCTGTAATATATGTATATAGTCGGGGAATTTTCTGTGAATTTGTGTAAATAAATGATTTTTATAAAACAGGTTATTTTCCGTTTTCTTGTTTAAAAGGTAGACTTGCAGAAATTGAATTAAGTTCAAGATGAATCAAAAAGAATAAATTAAATGTAAAAAAAAACCAAAAAAACAACACCTGTGGTCTGAACTCACGCATTTATGTGCCGTTGATCTATCAGGAGTTGACACGCCGTTCCGTTTTCTGTCATATTATCACTTGCTTAGGGACATTTCACAAAATCAAACAAGAAAAAGAGTAGGCTATATATAAAAATACCTTAGGAGCGCCCCCCCCCCCCTTTCAATTGGATTAAAACTTTTAAAATAGAAAAGAAAACTCTATCAATATATTGCTAACTATGGTGGTCCACCAAGGTATATATCTTTCTAAAAAGTGCTACAAGACCACGATTTGGCGGTCTGAAAATAGTATTAAAAGTCGCACAAAGGCAAATAAAATCGACAGTTATATATCTATTATTCTAAAGCCAGATAAACAATTCGTTTGAATTGTCATTTAGCCTACAATATGGGGTCAAACTTTGTATGTAGTTTAGATCAATTTCCAAAAGCCACAGAACTGGGGCCGCCAATTTAATATCTAAGGCAGTGGAGTAAACAAATGTGGTCTGAACCCAAATAGCAAATTTATATTACCTCTCGTAAATAGCTCATTAAAGCAAATTATATTCTACTGAACCGTAACAACTATTTAAAAATACAAGTAGGACGAAACGACCCCAAGTCAAATCCACACCCCTGTTCGATTTGGTTTATTCTAAATAACTAGGTCAAGCATGGCTGTCTTCATTACCGCGAAATAAATAAACAACGATTTTTCAAGAGAGAAAGGTTATATAGCTTGGTCTGAAATTAGTTAACGTGCGGTAGAAAGTAAAGGCGTGACAATTTCAGGTAGGTCGTTAAATTTTAACCATTTTAATTAAAAATTGAAGAAGTAGCAAGCAATTTTCGAGTCGTAGTGTCGCCTGGAACAGACAGTAACTGTGGGTAACCCACTAGAAACATCAACGCTGATTGGTTAATCAAATGTATGATGTCATAGGGTGAAAAGCCTTTCGTGTGACCCCTAAAGCAACATCCCACTACATCTGGTCAGATCTTCATGTAGTGTAGGCAGTCCCTCATTATTATAAGTAAATCTCTGGTGAATTCTTAATGTCTACCACTGCAAGAAATATGAGACTCGTTTAACTGTTTCAGTTGTTTTGAGATTAACTAGCGTATTGTCAGGCTGTAAACTTTGAGGTATTGTGATTTTGTGGCAACGTCGCATTCAATTTGAATTAAATTTGCCGTTTAACCCACCATGCCTCAACATTATTGCGCTTTTGTGGATTTACGTCATCCAAGTAGATAATGCCATTAAAAGAGTAGATTTTTCTTTTATAGGCGTATACAACTTTGATGTGCGAGTCTACTATCGCGTCGCTACTCATGTCCGTGCCATTGGCCTGTAAATTGATTAACTCTTTCTCTAACCCCCCGTGTTAACACGCTCTGAGACCATTTTCCGTCGCTGTAGCAGCGTAGTAAGAACGTCACCCAGGTTTGACGGGGGTATAAGGAGGAATCCTATTGAAATAAAGAGTCCCAAGTTGTTTATGTACAAAGTTATTGCACTTGTTACTAAAACCCCATAAGAATTCAGATTTTCGGGAATGTTTTATTATCATTATTAGAACTTGCTAGGATATTTCAGATAGTCCTGTCGACATAAATTATATGTGGAGTTATTGCCCCTTTCACATAATACTATATGGCGTATGCCCGTCTTCATTAGCCCAGTCGGAGCAGAACAGTAGGACGTCCCATAGTGTCTAGCATTTCCGTTCACTTGTATTTCTCTTGTTGACATCCTATACAAATGATAAATGCGCTGTTACACAAAGTGTTGTCTGGAAATATAAAAAATACACATATGACGAATCTAATTTGTCTGTTTTAACTAATTTTATTTGAAACTTTCCATCTGAAAATCCTTCAAAATTATGATTGTTTTCCATCCAGGTTCTACACATTTACTAATCTCACAACATTAGGGGGTAATATAATATAATGTTTACTAATCACTCAATTGCTTGGGCTATTAATGATATAATTTTAATTTTTGAATTTTATTCTGTTTTATTATTTATGAGACGGAATAATATAAGCTTTATAGCCTGTTTCCAAATCCATATAATTTATTATGTATTGTATATTGTGTGTATTTATATGTTAAATACTGTTCAAATATAATTTATTATGTATTGTATATTGTGTGTAATTATATGTTAAATACTGTTTAAATATAATTTTTGTATACTTTCAGGTTCTACAAATTTGCTAATGTTACATCTATTCGTGTTATTAATAAATTGTTTATATTGAACAACATAAAATATAATCTGCATTTAAAACATATTGTAAATAGGGATGGTGTGTTACTTTTATAGTGAACGCGTATAGTAGGGTATATATCATGTACGAAGCAGAGTAGGCTTACTCTATTTAGAACAAGTGTCCATTTCATGCTCTTCCAGTATTGCTGGGGGGTTGGATGGCCGAATGGTTAGCACGTGCGCGCTCTGTTATTAGGTCTGTCATTGAGTCAACTGGCGGGGTTTCGGTTCCCCGGCTGTACGTGACAAGGAATGGGTTCTGATTAGTTATTGGTTTTGTTACCTTGTTGTAGATAATTTGATTTCTTGGTATTATACTGTCATTACTTATACCCCCGTCAGACCTGGGTGGCGTCCTTAGTTCGCTGCTACGCGACGGAAAATGGTTTTAGAGCGGGTTAAGATCGCCATAAGCGTGATGGAAACGCAAGCTATCGTGTTATGGTCACCATGGTCGCCAGTGATCGCCGAGTCAGGGCGTTTGTCTTGAGCATGTCAAAACAAACGCCAAGGTTCTGCGATCTGAACTAGAAAGCTATGAGAACAAATTTTTAATTTTTTGGGACACGTTTGCCGGCGACCTTGTGCATTTCCTGGTCGCCGTACGGTCGCAGCAGCGCAGTAAGGATGCCACCCTGGTCTGACGGTGGCATTACTTAAGAACAACAAGAGAAACTTGTTGAAACGTAGCGTGAATTAAACTCAGTGATTGTTTTCCATATAAATTGTGTTTTATATATTCAATTACTAAATGCCGTATAAGGATTTTATATGAAAAGATTTATTTATAAAATATATTTCTCAAAGACGTATTATTAAATTTATATATATTTATATTTATGCAAGATGGCTGTATTCAAGAGTTCTTGTAATTATATATTTGTTAATCTGTTGACATTGGAATATTTGTTTAATAAATGTTAACTGCAATATTGTGATTTTTTTGTTGTTGTAATTATCTTTTGGTGAAGTAAAAGTGAAAATGGCAATTGTAAAGTAGACGGGTGCGCATATGCCATACAGTGTGCTATGAGGGAAATTTCGCCCGGGCAGCGACCCTATGGCCTACTCTTATATCGAATTCCAACTCCCAATGGATATTTTACGTGCATGCCAATTTATACACGCGACCTCGGTTTTCCATACCATCCGAACGACTAGAAATCTCTCTTGCCAAACATTCCGTCCTGCACCACTGACAAGAGGAAACCACGTCGGAAAAAGCGTCTGGTTATTCCAATCTATTGAGCTTGCTCTCCAGATAAGATATGACGTCTTTCTGGTCACTTGTTGCAAATGACGCTAAAACGCACTATGGTACACGATTCGTGTACCAATGCCAAAATGTTTATTTTGTCTTAAATATTGGATATCAGAAGCCTACCTTTTCCCGGTAAGATAACAACATCAATGTTGATTTGAATTGACAAATAATTCGTTTATTCAACGTGTAAGACTTTGGGTGATATTGAGTTAGAGACTTAGCTACTTTAATTAAATTGTGCGCCGGTAAAAGTGACGACAAACGCCAAGCAAATGAAAATAAAACGAGGTTTAACATCCTCTTGATCAGCACCACCCGGACTCATGTAGACGGAAAAGACGGGCATATTCCATACAGTGTGCTATGAGGTAAATTCCAACTGCATGCCAATGTTTTTCGTGCCAACGTTTTTTGTCCCATCAAGACGACTAGACGATATTCCTTGTCGGACCCTTGAACGTGAACAGTGATTCACTACCTTGCTCGTTGAATCTGAAGAAAATGTATCTGATTTTGTCCTAGGTCTCGTACACTTGGCAGTTAACGTAAGATGATGACAAATTCATCCGAGGGATCATTGTTTTACCGATATTGATAGTCAGGATGCGCAATTCGCATTTTTCGCTAAAATATCAATTTTATGTGTGGTTTAATGGTCGAGAATGAGACAGTCCAGAGTTACGCAATGCCTTAAGTTCGAGACCATTAAACAACTTAAAATACAGATACTCACACGTGCTTTGCAATGAAGTACGTCACACGAGTCCAAAATTTCAACTAGTATAAATAATGTTCACTTGGCCCATTGCCCGTACCATTATTTGGTATTTAACATTTACTAAAAAAAAATTAAATGAAATGGGTTTTAACGTCCTACCGTTCTGCACCACTAACAAGGGGGAACCACGTTGGAAAATCCCAATGAACTTTCTCGGCCAATGCAGGGATCGAACACGTGACCTCCAGGCTAGCGAGCCAGCGCCTTGCCCACTTAGCCACCGTGGCTCCAAAATTAAAAACAAACAAAAACAATATCATAAAGCATTTATATGTAACTAACTCTTAGAATGATCAGCATGTCTAGATCTACATCATACTCCTCGCAGTGTTTCGTTTGATTGGACCTAATCCCACTCAAACACTGCTGTAATGAAAGCAAATTTCTGTTCCAAATTATGACTGGTCAATAGTCCAATTAACAACTAATACTTAACTGCGTAAAAATATCATTGCGCTTTAAACAGAGCTCCAAATATGTTTACATAACGTTACGTCATGACTCACAAAATCTATTACGACCAATTAACCAGTACATAGCAGAATATTTCAGAAAAACGAATTGCGTGACAAACGATGCTATCAAAAATGGCTACAATGTAAACAATACTGTTTGGAGACGAACAATACTTTTATCGTTTTTAATACCTTAAACCACTGTCCAAAGTTTTAGGGAAGACCGCATATTAAACGAAGGGCTGTCATGTTGCTGTACTTGGGATAGATTTGATTGAACAAGAAGAATAGATACACTCCCTCAAAAGCTCAAGTATCAGAAGTCAATCCAACAACGGCCAGAGCTGGATTTCTCGGACCATTGCTTCAGGAATATGGATCTACACCTATAAGAATATAATGATTTATTAATCAATTGGGGTTGGTTTAATGGTATAAAAGACAGACGATAATTTGGATAGCATAATTATCTCAATGTATAACAGGTAAAACATTTTTATCGTGTATGTAATAATTTGCAGTGAAGACTTAATGAATGGATAAGCGAAATGGGCTTTAACGTCCCACTATTATGCACCATTCAAGCGGTTAGTAGTAAATGATAAGGCCAGCTCAATTTTCGTCATCGATCACGAGATGTAAACAGGGCTAGCGCTAATCCCAACCCTAGCCCCAATGCTTATAAACCCTAACCATCTCAGCGACCTTGAAAAGAATTGAGCTGGCCTTAAAGGGCAAATCCCGATAATATTTTGGAGAATAAAACTGCTACATTTTGTGTTAAAAGCCCTTGACATCCTCTACCCCAGGGCCGAGCAACTAACTCAATATACGTGATATGTTTTCAAACAATTTAAACCAGTCAGTCCTCATCTGGAAATGGAGACCGGTGTCCAAAGCTGTATTATGCGATGTTTGGATAAAACCAGACTTTTATTTTATAAAAATAATGTGTAGATGAAATTTACCTTTCGTTATCAAGTACAGCACATGGGTTATTTACTGTATAGACCTCTAAAGGAACGGGAATAGATTATCCGGTCACCCAACGAAAAAATTCACCCGAAATCTGAAAAAGGTTACGTGTCCGGATAAGCATTTTTGACGTTCACGTCCAAACGACTCAATATTTTGAGCTGAAATTTTGAGACAAGTTAAATACACCATTCCTCTATATTTTGGCGCTCAAATTTCATATGTACTCGGATTTTTATTTTTGAGACTCTGTTCAAATCGGGATAGTCCCTTTAACAAATAGATTTAGCCCCATTCGGGCTTATAATGACGAAAAGTGAAAGTATACGCAACTATTTTTTCTAACCGCTCAAGCGAGGATAATATCTTTGTATATTGATATGTACATCTTTTTAGCTGTAAGCTTCGAGAACTTACTGACACGTGGGTCTATTGAGCGTGTATGCTTTTAACTACGATTGGAAACCTTTCACTTACCCTTAGAAAATCCTTCTATTTGCTCAGGACATTTTTATAACACAATAACACTGAATTAATCAAAAGACTTCAACATTTTCTTAAATAAAGTTAATTAACTAAGTTAAATAGCGAGTTTTCGGATCAAGGATAGCTCTGACACTTGAAGTTTCTAGGTCTATTTATATGCAAGTCTCGGGTACGTTTTTATTTTATGATTTGGTCTTGATTTTAAGGAAATTCGACAATGAACAAGAGACTACCATTGTTCTCAGAAAAGGTGTAGTGGTCATCGCGTAAGTACAGTGAGAGAGAGAGAGATAAGAGAGAGAGAGAGACAGAGACAGAGACAGACAGAGGGGGAAATGGGGTTTAACGTCCACTCGACACAAACCAGGTTATTTCGGGACTACCATATGCTTCAATTTTATTTCAATAATTCGCTTGCGCTTAGGGGTCTTTAGCGATGGGGGGGGGGGGGGGGCGGGGGAATCGGAGAAAACCCACGAGGTTGGACAGGCGATACTACTCCTGGTCACGTACAACCGTGGATTCGAAACCACGCCAGTTGACTCAATGACAGACCTGATGATACAGCGCGCACGTGCTAACCATTCGGCCATCCAACCCCCAATTAATTACTCAACACTACTCCAGCTACCCATGTTGTCCCGCTTCGTGATACTACTTTGTCATGGATACACCAAATATTTTAGAACGTTTCCCTGGAAAGGTTTACGTAATACTGCACTAAGGTCAATGATTGTATGATTGGGAGCACGCAATTTAATATTATTATGTAAAGTATCTCTTCAGATTGTGTATGTTGTAAACGTATCCGTGACGACTTTAAGTGGATGTGCACATATAGACATATCAGTACTTTCCCAATTTGCGACCTACATTGTTAAATTGCACAATGTAATTTATGAAATAGCAGAAAATTATTATTAAAATAGATTAAAACAATACTGTTCTCGCGACATACCACAACGTTGTAGTCTAAACATTGCGCAAACATATTGACCACGATCTGTCTATAGTTTTTTAAAATTGCTTAATGCGACCTGTATTATTAAAATCTCCTACATTGTTAATATTGCGCGATGCTACCGACATAAAACTTGGATTTGGAATAATATGTATTTGGTATAATTTAAACTATAATGTTGTAGTCAAAATACTGCGGAAACCTCTTCATCTAGGGCTGTCTATAGTCTTAAAATTTCCAAATGCGACCTGGCCCGATGCGACCTGAATTGTTAAATTGTCCTACATTGTGAAAATTGACCAATGCAAACGATATAAAACCTGGAATGGAAATAGTCTGTTATGTTCTATTAAAAATCTAACAATTGATCTCTTAATATGTGCAGGGGGGTTGGATGGCTGAATGGTTAGCGTGCGCGCGCTGTATCATAAATTCTGTCATTAAGTCGACTGGCGTGGTTTCGAATCCCCGGTTGCACGTGGCAAGGAGTAGGGTCGCCTGTCCAACCTCGTGGGTTTTCTCCGGGTCCTCCGGTTTCCTCCCACTGCTAAAGACCCCTACGCGCAAGCGAATTATGTAAATAAAATTAAACCATATGTTAGTCCCGAAATGACCTAGTTTGTGTCGAGTGGACGTTAAGCCCCATTTCTCTCTCTCTCTCTTAATATGTGCTAGACGTAAACAATTAAACATACATTATGCAAGAGTTAAATATGCCTATTGCAGGTCTTTCTTTAGGCCTGAAATATTAGCTAAATTATTAATTAGACATTAATTAACTTATCCAGACAATAGATCAGACGATATTAAGTGGATTGAAATATATTTAAAAAAAAAATAATTAAACGTTAAAATGGATAATCGAGACTTTGTTTTTTTTATCGTACCGTCTTTAGTAATGATAATCGAGACTTTGTTTTTAATCGAA